AAAATACAAAATTTTCCATAGCAAAAAAGTTACAGCGATTTGTTAAATATGCATATTTTTGAAAAACACCCCGTAACTCCGAAACGGTAACAGATATCGATATGCGGTTTTCACCATCATGTTTTTGACAAAAATTGAGCTCCAGACACCGATATTAGTTTTTGTCTATCTCCTATAGAAAAGGGTGTTCCCATTTAAAAGCGTCGAATTTGACCCACTCTGTACATAATACATAATATCCTTTTTGTCATCCCCTAGTTAAACAATAAGTTTTGAAATACTTAATTATTGGATGATATAAGTGATGGTATGTAAGGAAATGCATGTTAATTAAATTATGTTGCTTATTTATATGTATTGTACAATGTAGAATGTTTTGGAGGGGGATTAATCACCGCGACCTTCCAGATCTATTGAGTGTTCTTCTTTCTTGAGTTATAACGGGTTATAAGTTATAACTCATCATACGGATGGAGTCCTCCAGGTTATTCACGCTTCCGCTTTAAGCTGGTTTCCGCTTGGAAAGCAGAATGGTTCTGTTCCAGCTAGTTAACTGTCCTTTTCTAGCTAGATCGTTTGCTTTTTCATCGCCTTCTATCCCTTGGTGAGCGGGCACACCCAGAGTAGGAGGACTTTATTTTCTTTGCCTAATTTGTTCAGCTTCTCTAGGCATTCTTTGACCAACTTCGAATTGATGGTTACTGAACGCTTGTTGTTGATCGCTTTTAGTGCTATTTTCTGTTTCCGATGGTTTATTTATATTAACAAATGCTTATAATTACATCAATTTTAAAAAATATATTTGAACGTTTGTAAAGAAAAAGTTTGCAACTTGTTTGCTGGGTGAGCCTCAAATAAGTGTGCATATTTTCAGAGCTGGTTGATCTTGATAAAATAAATATATTTTCTATTTGTCGTTCTACAGACAAGTCCAGTTATTAGAGTTTGAAAACGAAAAAAAAGTTTTTTTTTCAGGAATATTTCTAAATTTTGAGAGCCACCAGGTTTTTTAGTTCCTTTAAATTCGGTATACTACATATGTTGCCACATTTCTAAGATATTATATTTTTTTAATTAAAAATTTAAAAAACGTGTTTTTGGAGTCGAAATATACCTACTACCCCGAAAAATATTTGCATTTATTTCGGATCTAAGACGACACACCATTCACCATGTGGTGTTAGAAAAGTAGTAATTGGGAATTTTTTTGTTGGACAAAAAATAGATTCTATCTATCTTTTATCAGGAATAGATCTTTAAGGTAGCGGTGATTGACCCCCCTCCTCACACTTATTCTACTCATTCTACATTATCAGGAATATCGGAAATACACATAAATAATCGATTACCCAACATTTATGTATTAGGGACAAGATTGATTTCCCCGGTGTATTTAAAACATTTTAAGATTTTTATTTGTATAAAAGAAAGTCCAAATAATTAATTTTCAAAAATGTTGCATACTTTTTAACAGTTAAGTCCGTTCCACATATTTTTTTATTAAATTAAGCACGTTGCTTATGTACCTATTAAAAATGCTTATAATTGTATTATGTTTTAAAAATGTTTATAATTACAACAATTTTAAAAGATACAATTTAAAGTTTGTAGAGAAAAAGTTTGCAACTCGTGTGCATAATGGAAAAATATTCAACTCTCGAACTGTCCACCCAGAAAATACAGGACAGTGACCGTCATATAATTAACGAGTAAATTTTATTTACTGTCAATTTTTGGATTTGTTAAAACTTTATAATGTATTATTTTTACTAGAGGTAATTTCATCGGTAATTTCAGTTTATAGATAATATGTGTTAAAAAATAAAAATGATTTATTTAATTTTGTTTTGAAATTCAGAGACAAAATAGATCTAATACCTATATCTAATATAATCATTTATTTGAAGCTAATACGGTAAATGACGTTAATAAATTATAACACAGCCTATGGGCAAGTATTAAAATGATAAATGACATTTACTACCTACTTACACCAATCTAATTTAAATCTAACATTAATCTTAGTATTTTCGTTTGAATCAGGATTAAACTGATCACCTACCAGATTCACAAAGAAACAATAATGCATATAAAAATCTGTTTCCTTTATATTGTTGCGTGAATAATAGGCACCATTTCTAGTTATAAGAAATAGGTAGGCAGTATAATAGTTATTCCAGGATGTCAAACCGGAAGTGAACAGCGAATGGTACACAGATGAAAATCTTCGCCGTCGGATAGAGATTAATGCAAAATAAATTACCGATTTAGAATTTCAATTTGGACCACCAGGTATTTCCACATAAAGCTATATTTAATCGAAAAAATACCATTCTTTTTAGTTTCGAGAAAAAATTGCGTACTTTGGGCACAATACATACGCTATTGGTTTATGATTATTTTATCTTATCGTTTTATGTTTGTATTGACAATATCGCATAATCCTTAAATAAACGTATGGAGAGATGAGAATAATACACCGTGATAAACCGAGTTTTGTCTAAGTATAGGTTCTATTTGAGACCTTTGAACAACAGGTAAAAACGATTAATTTTCATTGGATAGGTAAAATCCGATAAAAAAAAAACAGCGTCAGAGGTGGCTTCGAAATGAATATCGCTGTCATTTTATATGTAAATGTAAAATGACATGGGGAAGGTCATTGCTCGTTATTTCCAAGCCAACTAGACGCAGTTTTTTTCCCTCATACAGTACTACTGCGAGAGAAATCATATAATGGGCTATCTGTGGCAGTATCCTTTAAATATCGACTTATACATATTATTTTTCTTTAAATATGGACTTCATTTTTTAATCTTGTTTTTATTTTAGAATTATAATTACCTATTGTAAAGGTGAGTATCTATTATTTGAAACTATTGTTTGTGCAATATTATGACAAACCAGAAAAAAATCTTATCTAAATGAACAAATGTCTATTGCCACGAAATAATGCGTTGTAAAACGATTTCGAATGTTCGATTTTCATTCTCAGAAGAAAATTACATTAAAATTTCATTAACATTGTTGACAAAAATGTGCTCAACGTTCAAATGTAAATATTATAGATTTACAATATTTTCCTTTGTTATTATAATTTTCAAGCGGTCATTTATTTGCAATGATACACCGGTGATAAAAGCAGATTTAATATATGTAATAAGAATAAGAATTGAATATGATTTATAAAAGATTTCCAATTATTATTTGCATAGTTGCAGTGTTTTGTGCATTTTGGACTCCCAACGATGAAGCAAAGTAAAGGCATTGTTTTAAGGTGTCAAAATAAGAATGATATACTAAATTGCAACTATTATTCTGCAGTAATAAATGAATCTACAAAGCAGTTTATGTGGTTATGTGGTAGCGTAAGTAAATATGATTTTTAAAGAAGCTTTAAATTACCATACTCGTACAGAGCCAAGTAGTTCTTGTATTAAATATTCTTTAAATAGAACTGGTAACTTAGAATCTAATATGGAGACAATGCTTTGTATTGTATATGTACCATGTAGTAGTATTATAAAATGTTAGCTAATGTTTAATAGCATTTAACATGTTCTATTTGCTACTGATTACTGAATACAATAATTGTTGTCGATTTTTGAGAATTAACTCTAAGTACCTAAATATTCATTGCTCACTTTTGACTTTTGACTTTTGACCTTGCAAAATTCTGTTAAATCATTATCAATTAATTATTGTTTTCTTCTATTATTACACTTCAAATAATAAACATATAACAATGACATCAGGACAAAAATGACAAGTATGATGGTAAGTAAACAGATTTATGGAAATTGTAGATAATTGGTAGGTACGTGTAAAAATAAACCCACTTACTAGGTTGGCAATTTGAAAAGTACTATTAGTAATTCCATATCGGAAAATTGGAGGGCAAACCAAGTACTCTTTGACACACCCCGCATCACCTGTTAGAGGGAAGTTACAAGAACTTTTTTAATACGAATATACCTTGTGTGGAAGATGGGACATCTTCAAAAAGCTCGTTGTTTCCTTCTTACAGTCTAATAAGAAAATACTAAATGCCACTATTAGGTAGTTTTTGACACATTGATGTTAAAGTTAAAAGATACATAACATTTTTGAATACTAATAATTAACTATCACTTATACAAATAAAAATCTTAAAGGTCTTAAATACACCGGGGAAATCATTCTTCCCCCTCTTACTAGCGGAATCGATATTTATATATTTCCGATATTCCTGATAGTAGATAGAATATATTTTTTATCTAACAAAATATTCTCAAATACCTATGTACTACTTTTCAAATTATCACCATCAGGTGAGTCGTCTTAAATCCTAAATAACTGCAAATATTTTTAGGAGTAGTATATTTCGACCCCAGAAACACGTCTGTAATTATTTTGCGTAAAAAATTATCTATATAAATAATAAACATAAATATATAAATTTTTTAATTTCAATTTTTAATTAAAAAATATAATACCTTGAAAATATGGCAACATTGTAGACGAATTTAAAGGAATAAAAAAATCCGGTGGCTCTCAAAATTTAAAAAAACTGGAAAAAATAATTTTTTAAATTATCAAACTAAATAAATAAATTGGGCCATTTTGGATTTATTTGGAAAACGGCAAAGAGAAAATATATTTCTTCTATCAAGATCTACCAACTCTGAGGATGTGTACACTTATTTAAGACTCACCCTGTATAATGTAATCAATACTTATTCCAGGACACATAGGTATTTTGTGCTATTTTATCTCTCCACCTTCTTGTGTTATTATCAATATTTTATACAACCACCCGAATTTTAAAGATCGACGAAAACAAACTATTCCCGCCTCTGGTTATAATTAAGATAAACATTTTATTATAAAATTTCCACAAATTTACACCTCGTATAATACAGTATTACTTACTTACTAAAGCATCAGGTATTATCTAACTAAATATTTATTTCATACAAAACAAAGACTAGACAGACCGTCGATATCGATCAGTCTCCTACCTGAGGGGGTGGGTTGTCCGAGTGCTGTACCATGGCCGGATCTTGCTTGGGACTCTTGCGGGACAAAATGCGGCAAAATCAAACAAAACACGACTCAAAACCCATGTCGAAAAAAACGAAACAACTCAAAATAAAAACGCTAAAACGAAGAACAACGAGAACACATCGACACCCTTCACGAAATACAACTCGAAACTAACTGACTGTGGCGTTTATTTACCGCCGCAGCGTGATTCATTTTTCGCCGCCTGCTGCTCCATGCGATACAGAAAGCATGCGCCCAGTTCGGTTTTCGAGAGGAGATGTACGAGGAACGAGATGAATCATCGATCTGGTCCGACGGTTTTCGGTGGTAGTTTCTCTACCGAGAGCGGTGGTCCAAGGGTGATGATGTCTATGGTCTAGGCAGAATCCAGATGTTGTCGATATTAAGAAAAATATCAAAATTGTCGACATCAAAATAAAACACTAATTCACAATTCACCATAATACACCAAAACACTTGTTTTTTTTGCACTGGACCCGCGTTTTGCTAACCATGTTCATGTTAGCATCATCAGCAGATGAATAAAACTAAGTTCCGTTTTAGCCTAGTATGCCGAATTTACACATTTCATGTCAAAAAGCTTCTTTTGTTTGTTTTAAAATTGCGCCAGTGCGTAAGGCTATACCTCAAACTGCCAAAATAATAGAAATAGAATTAACAGAAAGTTTATTACGTAAAAAAACAAGACGTAAAAGAAGATCATGGGCTAGAAAATAAATTAGTCGCAGAAATATGCGTCTAAAGGCGCATTCTCACGACTCGTGTACTTGACAAATTTGTAATTGGTATGTTTACACGGTGCGTCGGGCATATATACCAGAATTTGTAAGTTATTTATTATAGGAACTACGCCGCACTCCCCTCTCTTTTTGTCTCACAACGCAATCCTTCAAAGACGTGGAAGTGATGCTCAGACGCCTAAAAACAGAAGCAGACAGTAGGATTAAGCATAAACATCGACAAGACAAAATCAACGCGCATTAACACAAACAAAGAGGTTAGAACAGCTATGAACACAAACAACAACACTCCATTCAATGTAGGAATCTCAAACATGTCGAGAATGTAACAGAGTTTACTTATCTGGGAAGTATTGTAACAGCAAATGGTGGCGCAGACGCGGATTTTGTCAGCAAGATCAGGAAGGCGCAGCCTTTGGCCAACTAAAGTCAATTTGGACCTCCCGTCAACTCTCCATACAAACAAAATTAAGAATATTCAATTCCAACGTCATACCAGTTTTATTATATGGCTGCGAGACATGAAGAGTGACAAAACTAACTATCAACCGCCCACAGGTGTTTATCAATCGCTGCTTGCGGAAAATACTCAAAATCTTTTGGCTAGACACTATATGTAACACCGATCTGCTTCATCTTACAAACCAACAAGAAGTAGGCATTGAAATCCGCAAAAGAAAATGGAGTTGGATAGGTCACACCTTGCGGAAACCTGATAGTAATATAGCGAGATCAGCGTTGGAGTGGAATCCGAAAAAAAAAAAAGAGAAAGAAAGCAGGGACGACCTGCTCAAACATGGAGACTTTCCATACTGGATGAGCTTCAACAAGTAGGGTCAACATGGAAGGAAGCAAAAATAACTGCCAAAAATAGAACCCGATGGAGAGCTTTCACTAAAGCACTTTGCTTCGCGTATGAGATATAGGATCCTATATACAGGGTATACATGGTGCGTCGGGCATCTATACAGAATTTCTAAGTTATTTATATAGGAACTACCCGAATTCTCACCAGACTCTGTATGCCAATAAAAAATACTTGCCAAGTACACGAGTCGTGAGAACGCGCCATAATAATTTGTTACCTGAGCTACGGTTAGAAGATTCTAGAGATTATAAAAATGTTATGAATGGATGCAAACCAATTTAATTTAAATTAATTTGTTGTTGGAAAAAAGCAGAAAAGCATCCAGAATTTAAAAATCAGGACACATTCATGCGTATACAAATTATAGCGTAATGTCACATTTCGTTATATGTTCTCGGCTTAAGCTAGAAATTATGATTCTTAAACAAATTTTGTATTTCGGATTCTGTGGGTTCCATATACACTCATATTTTTCATAAATATCAACCAACGATTATTCACAAAACTTTCTTCTGACTTCTGACCAACCACTTGCCGCCATTTTAAAGCCCTCATTTGAATGCCAAAAGTGAAACAATAGTCAATTGAGATTTGTATCAACTCATTTGATCAACTGACATAATATTTGTCGAGTTTAGTTCAGGTTTTAGCTTCAGTTTGGTTTTTTCAGGTTTTGTTGTACCAATGTGTCTTATATATTTGTAAACAAGATCTTGCAGCAATCATTGCAAAACAGAATGGAAACGTTGTAGTAAGTAGTAATTACTACAAAAAGTTGTAGTAAAATTTGCTTATGGTTGGCGTAGTAATTGAAACCTTTGTCGGACAGGTTGTGACCATTTTATAAAGTCATCATCAGGAGAGAGAGAAAATATGGCGGACGTGTATATATGTGTAATTTTGGATCGTGCTGTAAAGGTAAATCAAACATCAATTGAGTGCGCTACATGTTGTGCTTGGGTCCACAGAGAATGTTCATGGTCTGGGGGAGAACTGAGGTAAGACACAACATTTGAAGTCATCCGCATCGATCTCTAAATGCGAAAATTTTCTCTGCAATAAATGGTATTGATTAAGAGCGTATTGTAGTAATTATTACTGCAAATGTATTTAAGAATTGCCGATAAGCAATTTAGATTTAACTACAATTTGTAGTTTTGGTTAAGATCGAAGATATCATTTTTACTACAATGAGACGGAAATATTGCCGACGTGCAGATTTTACTACAATCTTTGAGGAATTATTACTTGATATACAGTTTATGACCCAAAATACTTCCATATTAAAACCTTCTACAAAACTATGAACTGCTTCTGCAACCTTTTAACTACAAAAAATAGTAAATATTGCTACAACTTGTATTTAGCCCATACACTACTACAGTTTGTAGTTCGCATTATTCACTTTTTTTTTCGTGAAATTCTGATTTATGCCGGGTGCCACCAGATATGTCCAAGCTGGGTTAAGGTATAGATGGCTATGTTGGGTGGACCTTCGTTATTTTTGCTTCCGCTAATATTGACCATGTCAAACAAGCACATTAGAAAAGTAAAGTAAAGATTTCAGTTAACGTCTCCTTTTTGCTGCCATATGCCAGGGCTAATCTGGACGGGGCTTACTTTGTTTACGCGGAATCCGAACCGCGGTCCTCGGCCATATCATGGTCAATGGCCTACCGACTTGGCACGTGTCTAAATCGACTCTTACTCACGAGATATCCGATCTCATCCGGCCTCGAACCGGCGTGAATGAGCAGTGTGTGTCAATAGATTTTACACTTTTGCTTTTTTTGAACAACAGCACGTTTGAATACAGAGTTTCGAACCGGTCACCCGTCCATCCACTAGTATCGCCTTACGTCGCTTAACTTCGATGTTCTAATGGGAACCGCTGTTTCGACGTAGCTGGGCCGTTGCCCAAAAAAAGCACATTAGAGTTGATTGACCAGCCTACCTAATTGCACGTTGGCCCAGCCTGGCCACGTCGTGCGACGCCGACTAAGTTAAATAATATTACACGCAAGGGGTGGTTCACTTTAGTAAAAAAAAAGTACATGTACTGCCAAAATATAATTTTTCTGCCAAGCGACTGCCAATGACAGCAAAGAAGACTGCCTATATATATATCTGCAATATAATTATAGTCAACTGATGCTAACGACTGATGCCAAGGATTACCAATGAAATGTATGTAGGTACTTATACAGCGTGTCCCAGAAATAAGTGCAAATATTTTAAAGGGTGGTAGATCTCGATAAAAGAAACATATTTTCTCTTGCACTTATTTCTGGGACACCCTGTATAGGGTGGTGACAATTTCGATGCTCAACATTGCCATCTCAGAAACTACGAGAGATACGAAGTCGGTTAAATGGGACAAAAGTTGCGAAATTAGAAGTCTGACAAACACCTATGAAGAAAACACCGGTATCTTAATTAGTTTCGGATTTATGCAAAAAAAATGAAAATAATACGTTTATTTTAAATGACAATATCTTCAGAACTATTGTGTGTATTGCAACGTAAGTTGGTAGTTTTATATTTTTAACCTCGGCCAATTAAATTCCGTTTTCAGAAAATGTCTAAGCCTTCCAGATTTCGCACAACAGTCAAATTTTTGTTTTCTTATGGCCGCCATTTTGAATTTTTATCCTATTAGATAGACCACAAAATAATCTATACGGTGGTATTGGATCTAATTTTTAATCATTATTATGTAAATTCTCTGAAAAAAATATATTTTTAAAAAATTCGCTCAAAAGATCAAGTCTGCCTTGGAAATCCACGTCCAAAACGTTAATATTTACAAGTGGTTTAAGTAACACTTTGTAGAAATATTACAGAGCCTCTTGAGATAATACTTGAGTTATCTCTGCAATCCACTTAAAGTTTCTTTACTATTGTACAAAGCTAGTTGTCATTTGAATTTGATAGCAGAATGATGAAATCTTATTTTATTCTGATATTAATTGTAAAAGGCATTTTAGGTGAGTTTAAATTAAATTATCTAAGTCTAATAAGATATATTAAGTGTCTTAATTTTGAATAATCTACTATATAATTTAACACTACGATTTTTATTCAAAAATTGAGGCCAACTTCAATGCAACATTGTAAAGTGACACATGCACCTGGTTGTCTGGCAACTCTGACACAATTTTACCTTTATTTTTCATTTTCTAAATCCTAGTCATCTTTGGTGAATTTAGAACACCCTATATATCAATCAATTATTCTGCCATAGATATCCAATATCCGCTAAGAATTATGTATTTACCTATGAAAAGATAAAACTGTATATTGATAAAAATGTATGTTAAGTTGAATAATTTTGACACTGGATCCTTGAAAATCCAAGAGATAAAATAGGTATGGCCCCAACAATAATTGTTAGTATTTATTTTTTAAAATAAAAACAATAATGGAAGTTATGTAAAATAATTACAACATGAAAGAAAAGTTAAAAAGTTTCCGTATTGTAATATAGAAAACTTAATAAATAATGATAAAAATAATAAATAATGATATAAGAATATGTCGAATGTTCTATTGAACTATGATTCCAAAAATTAATTGTAAATTGTACTGTGTGAAGTGTAAAATAAATAGTATAGCATTCTTATTTAATAGGAACCTTCAAAAGTCGGATAAGATAAGTTTAAAAGTATTTTTGTTATTTATGCAATATCTTAAGCACTTACATAAAATAATATAAAATATTTATAACATTGCTAATCGACTTACTTTCTACTTATGAAAACCGAAAATATAAAGCCCATTAATAGTGTCATACATTGATAACTATTTGAAAATAGCACTATTTCTGTATTTATTCGACAATTTAGTCTTTCAATCTTATTAGCTTAACTATGACTTTCTAAAATGCCAAACATTTTAGAAGAAAAAAAAATATTTTAACATTATTTTAAACAGGTAGAGGAGGTTTTGGACCTACTGACCAAGAATGGGGATTTTCTACTGTCAGAGAAGGGGCTCACATATTTTGGTGGTTACATTACACCACAGCAACCCAAGAACCTACTGAAAAACCGCTATTGATTTGGCTACAGGGTGGACCAGGAAGTTCATCAACTTCGTAAGAGAATAATTACATAAGTGTTAAATTCACATCGACAACGATAATGCAATCCGCAACCAAAACTTAAATATTCAATAAATTCATGATTTCTGTTCACAATAATAATACCACACAGTGGCGTAGCTACCTAGGGGCTAGGTGGGGCAGTGCCCCGGGGTACAATTCCTGTCACTTCAGCAGCAGCTGAAAGGTCATTTAGCAAATTAAAAATAATAAAAAATTATTTAAGAAATAATATGGGCCAAACTCGACTCCGACATTTATTGCTAATAGCAATTGAAAACAAAACCGCATCAAGCCTGGATTTAAACGAAGTCATTGATACTTTTACAAAAATTTTTTAAATATAATTGTTATTTAGTCAGTTGGTAGGCCCGATCTTTATATAATAAACCCTTGAATCTTCTTTATTTCGTTTTATCAGCCAAACCTACACCAAGTATTAATTGTAATTTATGTTGTTACTGTTTAATATTTTTATTACCTGGCCCTGCAGTGCACAAAAAAGAGCTAAAGTAGTTTAACATTTTTAAAGTATTTGTATATTTCATATTTTTATTTGATAAAACCTAATCAGTTTACATAGCAGTGGGGCCCCATTTTTTAATTTGCCCCAGGGCCCTTGGTTACCTAGCTACGCCACTGATACCACAAGTCATTACTAACAATTGTTATTAACATAAATACAGTATACCTAGGACTCTAGGACATTAATTTTTAGTAATAATTAAAATTAGTACCTCTCGTCAATGAAAGTATATACGATGGTTGACGGTAGATTGTAGATGGTAGACAATTGTATCTACAATATTAATTGTATCTACAATCTACGCAAATGTACGAGGGTAGTCAGGACAGTTTCTGAAACAATGAAAAATATGTAATTTATATTCTTCTATATGTCATAATCCCCTTGCGAAGTCATTTCGTCCAAAGATGCTCTTACATCATTAACCTTCAAAATACCGTATGATCGAAAAAACGGTGTCGTCAAAGATGGCTAGGAAATGACAATCGAATATAATTTTGGCAAGGGCAATCTCTCGACGTCATTTACTAAAAATTGGCATAAAAGAGGTCAAAAATTATCACTAATTACAAGAAAATTTTAGAAATGATCCAGTTCCAGACACACAAATCTATTTCCACGTTTCCAGACACACAAATCTATTTCCAATTTTTTTTTTAAGTTTAAACTAGGTACACCATTTAAAAATAATTTTTACTCAATATAATATCAATAATTGCAACCCTCTTAAGGTAAACTGGCAGTAAGCTCCATTAAAAAATAAAGAAGCGTATAGGCCAGGTGAATGACGTCTAGGACTTGTCATTCCTTAGCCATCTTTGACGTCGTTTTTCTTTCGATCGTACCGTACCAGTTTAAGGGCTATTACTTTGTATGTCGATTATCATATTTTAACCTGTTTGATGCTAATCAGATATTTTAATGGGTATTATCTCTAATTTGCAATAAAGAGCGGTTAACATTTATCCTTCCAGCGCTACTTCAAGCAACTTTTCGCATAACCCTCGAATGACAATGACACTGACCTTTTTTTGTCGTTTTAATACAATAGTAGATTGTCTCATGGATTGTTTGTTTGAAAGTTATATTTCGAAATATCGAACATAAATATATGTTTCTCGCTCTGTCCAGACAGGAATATCTATATGGAAAAATTGTTATTTTATAAAATTTTATAAAACAGTATTTTTTTACATAGCGAGTTAGGTTTTGAAAAATATTCAGAAATTATTATTTCAAGGAATTTATTACGAGTAGAAAAAATTGGCGCCGGGAGGCACGTATAGCCGCCCATACTTGATATTTTTTTTATCTTAAAAACTGCGACTTTGACTGATTTTGATGTTATTACAAATTTTGTTGCAAATATTCTGGCAAATATTATTCCTAATTTTAAATTGAAAACCGCGTTTCGCTAGGTACTGTAATTTTGGAGTTTCGATTTTTTAAAATTTTTAACCCCCTCCCATACCCCCTTACCAACCCCCACCCCCACCAAAAACTAATGGCCAGATTCTCGGGTGCCACATTATTTTTGTGCCAAATTTGGTTAAAATCGGTTTAGCGGTTTTTTAGTTATCGTGTTACAGACGGACAGACAGACAGACACCATCAAAATATTTTGTATTTAGGTTATTTATGACCCAAATAACTCATTTTGAGTGAAATTAAAAAAAAACTTTTTTTTTGTCGATCTTAATAGCCTACCATACCTGTTGGTATGGTCGGCTAAAAATATTGTGCTGGGTTGGCGTTGGTTTGCATGTAATTTGACAAATAAATAAAGCTGTCTCATGGCTGTCTCTTTAGTTGTCAGTTTTGAGTCAATATTTTTTTATTCTCTTTCGTGTCGATTGCTCATTAAAAGGAATACAACAATTTTCAAAAATGGAAGCAATTAAAAAACGTGCGAGAAGAAATAAGTTTTTAACCTATCCTTGCTTTTAAAGTATCATTTAATCTACCCTTGCGGTTAAAGTACTATTTTATCTACTATTTTTGATAGATATAAGGCAATTTTAACAGTTGCTATGGAAAAAAATATATTTTCTTCTATATGTTCTCTATAGATACGGAAATTTTGCTGAACTGGGGCCTCTAGATTTAGATCTTAACCCTCGTAATACCAGCTGGGTTAATTCTGCCAATGTTCTATTTGTCGACAATCCAGTAGGCACTGGGTTTAGTTATGTGGAAAACGACACATTGTTCACAACTACCAATGCCCAAATAGCAGATGACTTTGTCGTATTTCTTCAGGATTTCTACAAAGTTCTGCCTCAATTTGAAACCGTCCCACTGTACATCTTCTGCGAATCATACGGAGGCAAAATGACAGCTCAAATAGCTTTACATCTTATAAAGGTAAAAAAATAAGAAAAAAAATACATTAAGCACTACAGTCTGTTTAACGAGCCAGCAAATATTTCTACAGACGACATCCAAAAAATGACAGAAATTACAATTTATCTGTGAATTAAAATGAACAGACATAACTATCACTGTCAAGGATCCTCCCGTTGGGCAGACTATAGTAACCAAAATCAAAGTTATATGTGTAACAAAGCTTTATCTGTGTAACCACTCTGGAAATAAGTTATTGGTTTTTAAATGCATAAATTTCAACTTTAATTGATGAAATTTTAGTGTGGTTAATTCAAGTCAATTCTAGAATTCTAATCATGGAAATTCTATAGTAAATCAACAGAAACAAAAAATATTGATGTCTATTCTGTAGTAAATTGTTTATATTTTTATCTACAATTTCTAAAAATATATATTTTTGAAATATGTGAAAAGGCTATTTGCACAGCTTATTCAGTACCAGCTTGCCATTTTTATTTGTTTTTAAGTATCCGCGCTTCACATGTCGCATGTCGCGTCTGTTCTCGTTCGTAGGCATACCAGCAGTCACAGCCGTAGATCAGACTGATCAGAGCGCTAGTTCAATGCGGCAATGCAATGGAGCTGAAAGTCGTGCCGACTGGCTGGTTATGAATTGGCTGTGGTTGTATATTTTGTAAATAAATTATGTAAAAACGTTAAATATGAATGCAATTCAGTTTTCTGGAATCCGTAGATGAAAACACTAAGATTAATAAATGTTAAAATATTTATAAATGAATAAAAATTAAATTATACCGACTAAAACAACAGAGAACTTATTTCATGAGACCGTAGATATAGTTTTGAAAATGTTTATTTTAAAATTTCTTGTGACTAGCTGTATACTTTTGTTTTTTTTTTCGTACGGTATAACATATTCAAGGGTATTGATTTTTATAGGCTATTGAGAATGGTAGTATTAATTCCAACTTCAAAGGTGTTGGACTTGGTGACTCTTGGATTTCACCAATAGACTCAAGCATCACATGGGCGCCTTATCTATACCAGCTGGTAAGTATTAAAAAATAATCTATGCCTTTACACAAAATTGTATGTATTTAAAAAATTGGAATGGTAAATTTATTGATAATTCTTTTAAATCTTTTCCTAACTTTCAAGAGTAAATTTAATGCACGGTGAACTGCGTCTACACTCAATTAGACATCAATATCTACTTTTATTATAAGAATTTCTAGGGAGTTATAGATACTCAACAATACGAAAATCTAGACGCGATAGGTCAACATGTAAAACAATTAGTTGATGATGGCGAATGGTACGATGCTACAGAGGCCTGGTTTATTCTACAAAACGAGCTCTATTCCTCTAGCGGCTTTTGTGTGGACTTTTACAACGTCCTTACACCTTGCGATGCCATCAACGACACATTTACCTTGAAAAAGCCTCAAGGTGAGTAAAAAAGTAAAGACCTGTGATATGTAATGAAGTTATATAATAGGGTGTAATAGGTACCTAATACAATAATGATCTTAACTATAATGATCTCAAACTACCGTATGATCGTAAAAAACAGCGTCCAGTTGGCTTGGCAATGACGATCGATGACATTCCACATATCATATTTTACCTAAAAAATGGTGCGTTTAGACTTGAACACGCACGAGCTGAGCGTGCGCGCACGGCATTCGTTCGCGCTCTCGGCTCCGTCCAAATTAAAAACTTATTTTTCAACGAATGAAGTGATCCATTTGTGCGCGCCAAATACGTTTAAAATAAAGTATACGGAGGGTACCGCTTAAATTCCTGTCCCGATATTGAAGGACGGCTATAGAATTTCAATGCATTTCCTACATAAGTCTATCCTTGTATTGTAGGAGGTTTGACTAAACAAGGATGAACCTATGTCTTGAAACCATTCGACTTGATTTTCTGTCCTCCTTCAATACTGGGACGTAAATCCTCTCATTGCTCTTATGGGGAGGCCGTCGTATATTTTATTTAAACGTATTTGGTGCGCGCACAGCAGAGTTGTGTTGGCGAAAATAATGGAAGACCAAGAAATAGTCGAGGCTGCAGTCATTGTTATGCACAGCTTAATTATTAAAAAGAAGAAAAATCGAAAACATCGTCGCTGGTGGCAAACCCAAATTTTTAGAAATCGATATAATTTACTGCAACAACTTAGTGTCTGAGGAGGGCTATGATCAGTTCAAAAATTTTACAAGAATGACCAGGCCCGACTTTGAATATTTACAAAATTTAATAACACCAAAAATTACGAACAAAAGATACACAATTTAGAATAGCAATTTCGTTAATATCGACATATTCAATATTAATTTTATTTACAAGGTCTTGCCATGTGTTATTTTTTTGATTTTTTAATAATACAAAGAATGTTTAACATCCCATAATATAGGCAACTTTTCATATTTTTCAATTAATAATAACGAAGATTCATTGATCCACTCCATAATTTTAATAAAGAAAACGAAAAAAATCACACACGCACGCACGAACGCAGACAAAACAAATTGCCGGAGCAAATTGAGCGTTCGCGCACACATAAAATCCCTTTGAGCACGGCCCAAAAACCATATACGTATATGCCAAAAACCGACAACAGACGGCTCACGTTCCCGGCTGCTCGCGCACAAACCGATTCAGAGTGAGCGTACGCGCACAGCTGTTTACAGTGCGTGGGTGCTCAAGTCTAAACGCACCATATATACAATTACAGCGACCTTCATTTCATAGCCATCGCTGCCCCCGTTTTTTTTTCGATCATATTGTATTAGTTCTTGATTTTTTCTACTACTGCATTGCATTAAAGTACCGAATGATTGAAAAAAAATGGCGTCCAGTTAGCAATCGATATGACAATCGATGACATTCTTCATATAATTTTACACGTAAAATGACAGCATTTTCATTTCATAGCCATCGCTAACGCTTTTTTTTTCGATCATATTGTATAAATAATAGGCAACAAATTAAGCAACTATTAGAGTGGGTTTACATCCGACATGCGTCTTTTCTCGTTGATTTTGTGCAATTTTATTGGTTTAGTTAAAAAAAGACAGCTCATAATTATGATTGGAGTGACAAAACGACGGATATTCCCTAATTTAATGAATTTTTGTGCCAATTATATTGCTATTAATCGATTTTGGGATTAATTTATATAATTGATAACCCGTATGATCGGAAAAAAACGGCGTCTATTTGGCTTTGAAATTAACGATTTATATATACAGGGTGATTAAAGGAAATATTTTCAGGGCTGGTAGATCTCGATAAAAGAAATATATTTTCTCTTTGCCGTTTTTCAAATAAGTCCAAAATAACTGAGTTATTTTACTTTAAAAATTTCAAAAAAATTGATCTTTCGCTTAAATTTTGAGAACCACTGGATCTTTTCTGGATTTCTTTTTTGTAAATTTAATCTACTACCTATATGGTGCCATATTATGAAGATATATTTTTAACTAAAAATTCTAAAATTTTTATTCAAAAACTTTTTTTTTTTGCGAAAAAACTCAATTGACGTGGTTTTTGGGGTCGAAATATACTACCTAAAAAAACTCACCCTGTATTATACAGGGTGAGTCTCAAATAAGTGCAAATATTTTTAGGGATAGTACAATATATCGACCCCAGACACACGACGATTATAATTTTTTTTCGCGAAAATTTTACCTAACCAATTGAAAATTTGGAATTTTTTGAAAAATTTTTGGAATTTTTTGTAGTTTTTAGTTTAAAAACACAATTTCTTGATAATATGGCAATATTGATAGTAGATTAAATTTAGAAGAAAGAAAACCCAGAAAAGATTCAGTGGTTCTCAAAATTTAAACAATTTTTTTTTTGGAAATTTTCAAAGTGAAAAAACTCGGTTATTTTGGACTTATTTAAAAAACGGTAAAGAGAAAATATGTTTCTTTTATTGAAATCTATTTGCCCTGAAAATAGTTTCACTTATTTAAGACTCGCCCTGTATAGATACTACATATTATAACGTTCCCCATATAATTTTACAAAAATGAGAGCGATATTTTTTTAAGCCATCTCTGACGTTGTTTTTATTTCGGATCCTATGGTATCTTAAAATATACAGATAAATTTATTTTTATTTTATTTCAATGTTGATTTAGCTCTGATATTTATTATAGGTATAGTTTCATGTTTTCTAACAAAAAAAATGATATTTTAGGTAAAGTGTTAGGACTAAGCGAAGAAGAGATCATGAACGACAAAGTGAGAATTGCCCTGAATATTTCAAGAACATGGGGTGAACAAAGTAACGATGTTTTCACTTATCTTGAAACTGATTTTATGAAACCCGTAACGGAAATTGTAGAAAGATTGTTGAATGAAACAGATATTAAAGTAGGGGTGTACAATGGACAGTTGGACTTGATCGTCGATACTCCTGGTAATCATGAAAACAGAAACTTTTCGAAGTTTCTGCTGATTATTTCTAGATTAACATATTTAATATAATAATTAATAATAATATGTTTTAATTATAACCACAATCTATCTTTAGTTTGTGTTATAACTAAAAACTTATCTCTGTATTATAACACAGTAACGACTATACAGGGTACGTGTTTCCTAAGTAGACTAAACAAATAGGGTGTGATTCCTTATATGATTTTAAGATAAAGTCAAGATTTTTTGATTTTCCCGGAAATTTTAAAAAACTTATTAGTGTCACTTGTTGATTCACCTGAGATTTCTCTCTGATCTAAACTTTGCAGTGTTGCCACCTTCTACGTTATCCACATTTTACATATTTCCATATTTATAAATTCACAGCAATTTTAAATTTCTACACAAAAAATTAGGAATATTAATTTTAATCTTTTATCTTACTAATAGTTCTAGAAAAAAAAAACATAAATTTATTTTTAGTACATATCCTTTCAATAAAAACCTAACGGTAACCACCGAATATTAACTAAAACATTACTTTTGAGGTTTACGACAATCTTTGTTATGCTCCAAAATAACTTTATTTAGAACTAAATTTAATAAAATGATACATCTCTGCAATCTCTGCCAAACTCATCCGGTTGTGTGATTTTCTGATTTCATTTTAAGCATATATACTTTCTTGGCAGTGCGGCAACATAGGGCGTCGAATTTTCTGAGAGCCGGGCACCGATCCGGGTAGTTGGATGTTGTCGATATCTGCCGGCGTTTCTCAAAATGTTGCCATTATTTTTTTAAAAATTGAAAGTTAAATAATTCGCGCGGTTATTTTCAATTTATTTTAAAAACGGTAAAGAGAAAATATGTTTATTTTGACCAGATCTACAACCTCTTAAAATATGTGCACTTATTTCTGGGACATCCTGTATAAACCATGAATTTGAGCAACGTAACAAATTTAGAGTTTTAAGCCCCCTCTGCACGTCACTGGTTTAATCAGATTATGCACTTATAAGCACCATTTTGTAGGTGATTTTATAATCAATAATTTTTTAATAAAGTTAAGGGTATCGGGGATATTTACCAAAATTAAAAAAATTGTACCTTTAAGGTACGCGCACACTGACCAGGGCCGCACTCGCCGCACGAATCGCACTTTTTTTTTCTTATCGCGCACACTGAGCCGTACAGAACGCGCCGCATTATTCGATATTTTATTTCTTTTTGCCCCTGCTACACCCGTATTTGCCAATCGAATTTCTCATCAGTCGCTTCCAGAGTCCTGTCTGCGGTGATAGGCGTGTTTTTTTAACATTTCTCGAAAATGAATGACAACGAACAAGAAATAATTATAAGCTCCTTGCTAATAAAATAAGAAGAAATCACGAGAAAGAATCGAAAGTTATAGGTTCACAATATTTGCAAAAATCCACATTATTTCCATATTTAATTGAGGATGAACTATTTTTTTTTCAATATGAGCCATGAAAAATTTGCGAACTTTCTTAGCATATTGAATTCCTAATCTCCTCTTCGGCTACCTACGTAGAGTGGAAGGAATTGCGTGTGACGTCAGCAGCACTAGCCGCATTTATCGAAAATCAGTCTGGCCCAACAATGTTGGCCGCATTTTCGTCGATGCGATTCTTGCGGCTCTGGGTAGTGTGCCTTAAAGGTACGCGCACACTGACCAGAGCCGCACGCGCCGCATCGACCGAAGAAAAATATTGTTTGAGTTACTTTCAATGAAGGTGCGCACTCTAGCCAGAGCCGCACGCATCGCATCGAGGAAAATGCGGCCAGCATTGTTGGGCCAGAATGATTTTCGGTAAATGCGGCTAATGCTGCTGACGTCACACGCAATTCCTTCCACTCTACGTAGCGTAGGTAGCCGAAGAGGAGATTAGAAATTCAATATGCTAAGAATAAAATTCGCAAATTTTTCATGGGTCATACTGAAATATTGAAAAATTTTTAGTTCATCCTCAATTAAATATGGAAATAATGTGGATTTTTGCCAATATTGTGAACCTATAACTTTCGATTCTTTCTCGTGATTTCTTCTTCTTCTATTAGCAAGGAGCTCATAATTATTTCTTGTTCGTTGTCATTTTTTGTCGAGAAATATTAAAAAACACGCTCACCGCAGACAGGACTCCGGAAGCGACTGATGAGAAATTCGATTGGCAAATACGGGTGTAGTATGGGCAAAAAGAAACAAAATAGCGAATAATGCGGCGCGTTCGGAACGGCCCATTGTGCGCGACAAGAAAGAAAAGTGCGATACGTGCGGCGAGTGCGGCGCTGGTCAGTGTGCGCGTACCTTTAGGAGTGGTTTTGGGGCGGTTTGCACGGTTGGAGGGATGGGGACTCTTACTATGTTAATCTGGCCCAGAATGGTTAACTAGCCACAAAAATTCAGCTTTAGGGGATTTTGTTCCATGAGCACCATACTAGCACCATACTCTCCTGAACTACAACATGTACTAATGACTTTTAAGCGTCTTTGCACTTCAAGTCAATCCCACGTTTTTATAAGATTGACTTGAGTGGAGCTGGTTTGTAATCGAATATAATATGGACCAAATCTCCCTGCTATTAATGTAAAATAAACTGTTGCGGATTAGGATCGAGAATGAAGCCTGCTTTAAGTGGAGCTTGCTTGAACCACTCAAACTGAACATGGTATATTTTGCACTTTTTAGGTACAATCAAATGGGTGGACGCCTTAAACTTTAAAGGTTCTGAAGAATGGAGTACTAACGAGAAGAGCATGTTCAGTATAAACGGAATTTACGAAGGATACGAGAAAAAAGCGGGAAACTTGTACTTCTACTGGATCCTGCGGGCAGGACACATGGTAAACTTTAAATTTATATTAATTTAATGTAGATAATAATTATTGACATTAATTTTTGTTAAGGTTCCCAGAGACAACCCTAATGGAATGTTGTATATTTTGGAACAAATAACCGACAATTTTGCTGTGTGATAACAATTTTCATATATAAAAATTTCTGTTTTGTTGTTTTATTGTGAAGTATAACAACAAATTATAAAAATAAGGTTTAAGATAAAGATTTAATAAACAGATCGTAGTATTATTTCAAATCTCCCTTTAAAAAAAGTTGAAAGAAATTATAAAACAAAAAACCTTCAGAGAACTATATAGGGTGAGCCTTAAATAAATACAAATATTTTCAGGGCTTGTAGATCTCGATGAAACACATTTTCTCTTTACCGTTTTTAAAAAAAAAATATATTTTTTGTTAAATTTTGAGAACCACTGGATCTTTTCTGGGTTTTCTTTCTTATACATTTAATCTACAACCAGCGGCGTGCGGTGACAATTATAGGCGGGGAAGCGAATCGGTAAAAACCCCTATTTCGAGACATTACTTTTACATTTTCTTAAAAAACTTACCTTTGAAAATTCCGAGGCCAATTCCATTGTTCGATTAATATTCTATCGAAAATTGTTAAACAAACAAAAACACATAAAGTTATAATAGTGAAAATACGATATTTTAAATTAATTTTCCGAAGCACATGACGCGCGATAGGCACCTATTTGTATTTGAGGTCTATTCGTCTATCAGCCATTGCAAATTTGTCTATAACATCATCATAAAATTTTGGATTTAATTTATTATAATATTATCTATAAAATCGCAAGCGAACCCGTCCCGATAAATTAAAAGTCGAGGAAGGCGGCCGAAAGATCGCTGCCGTGGCTAGCAACTGTGCGCGATTTTCCGGCTTAAATTTGTCGTTTGCGTTCGAGGTCAATAACACCTACATGAAGGAGGGATAGGCGACCGGCGGTGATTCCCAGACGCGCATCCATGCCGTAAAAGGCTAATTAAATTTACTAGATACGTTTATGTAAGGTTTCGAATAAATAATTTTAACAAAATAAATGAATCTTTTGTTATAAAATAACAGTATGATTAACGTTTAACTATTTATTTTTTTTATCTTTAAAAAGTTTAGGGAAGCGGTGCTTCCCCCGCTTCCATGGACCGCACGCCGCTGTCTACAACCTATCTTGTTATATATTATCAATATGATTTTTAACTAAAAGTTAAAAAAAAACATTTCAAAATTTTCAAATAATGTTTTTGTGAAAAAATCCTCATACACGTGTTTCTGGGGTCGAACTATACTAACTCCTAAAAATATTTGCACTTATCTAAGACTCCCCCTGTATTATAAAATATAATATGTACGAATTAGCAGATCGATCCGTATATAATCGGAATAGTATCACAGACTTAAAAGATAACCAAAATCATATTCTAGAGTCACGGACTTAAATACATACAGCCGAAAAAGAGACGTAAGAGTTTTGGCTTGGAAGTGTAGATTTCTGACATAATTTAGAATTATACATAGTCAAACCGAAGGGCAAAACTGGATTGTCATTTCCATTTTCCATGTCAACATGATGCTAATAAGACATGATGATAAGTATATATTTAACATTGAGCTCGATCAAACTAAATCACATTATCTTTTTAATTGTTTTTTTTTTAAATTCTAAACAAATAAATTTAATTCCTTGTTTCCCGTGGTACACCTTTATATAATTTTTAGAAAAAAAAAATTCTATGCGCGTTTATAAATACTAGCTTATTTGTTTATACCGGGTGCGTCTCGAAAGTGGCTCATCCCTATAACTTTTTTAATTTTGCAGACGAAAAAATTATATTTCGTATGTTAGTATATGACATAAATTGGGATTGATTGACACATTCAATTGTTTCTGGTCAATTCCTGTTTCACCGGAATTGACAACTTTTGATTTTTAAATGGCACACTCGATATATTTTTACTTTATTCGATAGAAAATGACACTTTCAATAGAATGACATATCATATGTCAAAATCGTATTTCAAATTTCAATCTAGAGTGCCATGCCTCTGTTAAAAACAATCTTTAATCAAGACGCCTTGGGAAAATAAATCTGATCATGTAATGTTCTTTGTGTCTTGTCCTGGTAGGTTAAAAGATACCCAAATCGTTTCTATAATCATATTTCAATTACGACCGTACCAACAGGTATGGTAGGCTATTAAGATCAGCAAAAAAAAAGTTTTTTAATTTCACTCAAAATGAGTTATTTGGGTCATATATGACCTAAATACAAAATATTTTCATGGTGTCTGTCTGTCTGTAACACGATAACTCAAAAACCGCTAAACCGATCTTAACCAAATTTGGCACAAAAATACTGTGGCACCCGAGAATCTGGCCATTAGTTTTTGGTGGAGGTGGGGGGTTGGTAAGGGGGTATGGGAGGGGGTTAAAAATTTTAAAAAATCCAAAATTACAGTAGCTAGCGAAACGCGGTTTTCAATTTAAGATTAGGAATAATATTTGCAACAAAATTTGTAATAACATCAAAATCAGTCAAAGTCGCAGTTTTTCAGATATTCCGTAGTCCGTTTTTGAGAAAATTCGTGTGGAGAACTCCAAACTCCCATCGGACGCGACCCCAGGTGGCGGATAGGGGAAATAACCCCGGACCAAAATTGGAAAAATTCCTTTACATTGAAACTAAAAGAACTGCCTACCAACTTTTAATGGTGTACCTAGGTTAAAATTTCAGAAAAATTATTTTTTTTTAAATAGATGTGCCTAGAAACATTCTATCCTTCCTTAATCTTTTCAAAATTACTGTTAATTTTTGTTAAACTGTTAAAGTTTTATGTCAATTTTCTCATCGATTGTCATTTCCCAGCTGTCTTTGACGCCATAATTTTTTTCGATCATACAGTAAATCCTTACAATATTATTTTCTTAATATTGTTTTGTCACTATTTCAATACATTAGTTTAGTGACAAACTAAATTGTAAGTTAATCTATGGTTTAGTTATCTTTATAAACTTTGCCTGTGCAGTTCAACTATGAAAAAAAAAGATATTTTTTTACATATTTATTTGCCTTATAGAGATTTAATTTGAATTAATTAAGTAAATTAATTAAAACATAAGAAGAACCTTCTACAAATATTAAATTCAATCAAAGGAATCAAGATTTTTTTCTCCTAAACAATAAGAAATAGGGGGTTTGTAATAAGATATTACAAGGAATGTCATCATTTTAAATACTGGATATTGGTTCCATTACTTAATTAAACTGCACTATTGAAACGCTTGGCTCTCTCAGTATTCCTTATGTCCTTTTCTATTTCAAATCTTCGCAAGTCTGCTCTTTGTAGAAAATCTTGTCTGTCCAAATACCTAAATAGTAAATTTATTTATACACTAGTCCAAAATATCCACTGCATCTCTTTAACTTACCCATCTTTTCCTTTGTTGTATGTCTGAAGTTCCTCCTCGATATTTTCTTCCTGCTTAAATTTGTCCCAATCCAATTTGGTTTTTTCCAAAGTGCTAATTTTTTGTTTTTTACCTAATTGACTAAGTACACCTCCTATACCACTTAAACTTCCATTTTTCTTTCCTTTATTCGATGTAGATGAATTACTACACAATAATCTAGCTTCAGCAGATGCTTTGTCAACCTGTAAAAAATAAGCTTCACATTCAAGTTAGCAAGAAATAAAATATTTAGATACCTCTTTTTCCACTACAACTTCTTCACCTGCAAACTCAAAAATTTGCTTTATTTTTACTTTTGCAGATTGAGCTTTTTCTTCTTTGTTTTCATTCTTTTGTGACTTCAAAGGGGCTTCGTTTTTTTCTATTGGTTTAGAAGATTCTGCTTTAGTGTTTTTTGACTTAAAACCAGTGTCTTTTATAAAATCAGCCCATAGATCATCTACTTTTTTTTTCTCATCGATAGGACAAGTTTCTAATTTAGGTTCATTAGTTTCTGAAAATAAAGTAAAAGTTTAGAAATGATAAATATTACGTTACAGTATTAACATCTTGAATACATTTGTCTTACAATCACCATACCATTATCTTCAACTTTGCTTTTCTTCTTAACTTGCTTTCCCTTTTTTATTCTTTTTGTGCGTTTATTTCTGGGCTGATCTTCACAATCGGATAATGGATCCTCTGAATCCCCATCGGAATCGACTTCAGATAATACCTCCTGTTTACTTTCTGGAACGTAATCTTCGTCACTTGAGTCGCTGCCTTGGGGAAGTTCTTCACTATTCATATTTGTCTAGATTTTATACGAAACTTTAATTCACTTGACTTGAAAAATGGATCACTTTACAAACAAAACAGTCATATTGAAAATCCAACAGCAATTAATTATAAACTGTTCTTAATTTGCAGGATTATTAAATTTTGCCGAACACAAATCTTAATTCTAGAAAATTTTTTACCATTTTTTGACCACAGATTAGAAATCACAATTGATTTAAAAAGATTTTATTTCAGGGATTTTTTGACACTCAGGGTAGCCATAATGGCAAAAACACGAAAGAAGATCATATTAATTATATGATAAAACCAAAGATTAGACCTATATAAACTAGAATACCAACATAAAAATATTTTTTTAAATTTATAAATGTCATTAATTATAATTATTATCATTATGTTGCTTCCACTGGTTGTCATGCAGTATATTTTCTGTTTTGTTTATTAGGTATATAATTATAAACATTCTAATATTTACTAGATTTTAATATAATGTAAAGTAAGTCTGGACACCTGATCTTCTTCTGCCTTAAAGTTACGTTTTTAGTGCATTATCGGTATATTTATTTTATTTCAGAACTGAATACTATTTACAATGAAAAAATTGAAGAAAAATGCTGACAGTATAACATAGAAGGAGCTTAATTTTTTCCTACCACCATGGATCCCAAAGCTGTATTTTCCTTACAATTGGATCCATTGAACACATTTTCCAAGATGTGGTATCATGTCTTCCTTTGGGCCTTGTTTTCATCAGTTTTAGTGCACACCGTATGTAAATTTTGTTACATTTCCTTTACTTGTCACTTCAATAACAGATGGTTTATGTTATGTATACTTTTAGGTTGCAGCATTAATAGCATTTTTAACCCTGAGGAAGCATAAATTTGGAAAATATTTTCCAATAGCAATACTTTTTATGGGTGTTTTAACACCTGCACTGACTGGCATTGTAAGTAGTGCTGCAATTGCATTTGTGTATAGAGCATCAAGTTATCCAATGAATCCTCTATATGCATTATTTTGGGGCTGTGGTCAAACATTCATTATGGGTTGTATGGGCTTTACACGGATACTGGCAACTTTGTAATTTAATATTACTATTAATGATAAGAACTTGATGGTGTTGTGGCCCAAAATATACAAATAGCACATGTGATTCAAGTTTGGGAGATACCAAAACTATCATTTTTTTATTAAGATCTAGTGTCATATTAATTTTATATGTATTAACAGTAAAGACTATTTTTTTAAGAAGAAACTAAAGCTGAAATGTTTTCATATACTTATTTAGAATATATGAATAACACTTTTTGAAAGAATTTTCAGAATCATATTTATTGTCTAAGATAAATCATAAATTTGTATTTATTTGTCATATAGGATTTTTATCAATACTTTAATTCCAAATTTTTTTCCATCGAACAATAAGGTGTCATTATTGTATAAATCATTCAATATATGTTCTTACTTGATTATAATATATTAAAATAGAATACATTTCAAAAAATTGATTTTTAAATTAGTTATAATTTGCATAGGAAATTTCATGTAGTCTTTATTATCAAATATAATTTTACAACTTCAAAATGTGCTATATATAGTTGGGCTAGTTAGACATTTTTTACATAAATGTTATTGGTGCTAAGCATAGTATAGAAAAAGAAGCAAACATTTTGTATATTTATTTTTTAGTTTAATTGTATATTTCTTATCTGAGCGATGTAAAAACACTTTTGTAGAGTAGCTATGTATATATGCACTGTACAAAAGCTAGTTCATAAGTTTTAAGAAATAGTGAAAGCCTAAGTCAATAGATTATGTATTTTCTGTTATGTTATCAAAATAATGAAAATATAAAATTTCTTTATATGTTTCAATGTAGTTATTATTTTAAATTAGTATAATATAAATTAAAACGCTAAATACAATATATATATACTCGCAATTCTACATATACTCGTAATTCTACATATAGTAGATAGTGTGCTTAATGTGCTTAAGATTTAAATAATATAACAGGTAGATTCAAAATTAAGCGCCCCTCATAAAAGATGTAAAAAATTAAAGTTCAGTGGAATTTGAGTGGAATAGTTATGCAACGCAAAATACAGAATACTAAATGTCATTAATGTCAAATGTTTATAAACTGGTTGACGTTTTTCTAAAATATTTTTCCTGTTTTTCTGTTTAACAATGTTTGTGGTTTTGTTTATAAATAATTTATATGTATAGGAAAAATTATTAAGAAAAACAAAACAGCCATGTCTGTGACCAAACCTCACTGTGATAGTATTGCTAAATCGGATTTGAAAAAATGTGAAAAGAGAATTCTTTCATATAACGATATTGCAACAAAATTATTAGAAGATAGATTCTTATTAACTGCATTAGAATTACACACTGAACTTGTGGAAAATGGGAGAGAGCTAAAAGTTTTAAGAGACTTTTTTTCCAACCCAGGAAATTTTGAATTACAAATTCAGGAAACTACTAGTCGATTGTGTAAGTGAATGAATTATTTGTTTGATATAAAGAAAATCATATCTTTCAATCCGTAGCAAGATCTGGAAGTCAAGTAACACTGGATAGTTTAGATCTGACTAGATATTCTGAAGATGGTGCAGCGGGTGATGAAAGAGTAGCTGTTTTAGAATTTGAACTTAGAAAAGCTAAAGAAACTATAAATGCTCTTAGAAACAATCTTACTTTTGCTATAGGTTTGAAAAATAATATTACTTCTGTTTCTGAAATTATATTTACCTAAAATGCAAAGAATTATTTTTGTTTTACAAGTTTTGTTTAATATATTTTCTAGAATCAGAATCAAGCACACCTGATAAAGGATCTTTGAGAAATATTTCCTTTGCTACAATTAAACCACATGAGCAAAGGGCTTTAAACTTTCTAATTAATGAATATCTTCTCTTACAAGGTTACAAATTGACTTCCATTACATTTGCAGATGAAAACCAAAATCAGGTAGGTAATTTAGCAATTTTAATAAGAACATAATTATTTCAATTCTGTCATCAATTTTAAATCATTTAGGATTTTGATGATTGGGATGACGTTGGACTTAATATCTCCAAACCACCAGAATTGCTTCACTTATATAGGGAAGGTTTAAAGCAGAGTGGCCAAAATGGCATAAGTGTTTCAACCCAAACAGATTTTATACATGATATAGAGAAAGAAGAACTTATTAAAGAGCAGGTAAATAATATTTAAAAATTAGTCTTCATATGCACTTATTAAAATAATTAATAGTAGTGTACTAAGTATATTTTTAAGTTAAAAATCAACAAAATTTATCATATCTACGTATGAAAAACTTTTTTATTATTTCATTAATAATTGTCTAATATGAAGAAGTACAGAAATAGTAAAAAACATTATAGTTATTTTATTAACTCTGCGATTATTACTATGTATAATACCCTTGTATATAAGAATTTATAAAAAAGGATAATACTTAAATAATCGGAGTTTATTGGGAAAATTCAAATTATTTCCAAAAATTACCAAATAAACTGACTTGCGCACATGGCGCAATTTCTGCTGTCAGTTCTCTGGCTGTCAGTTTTGTAAAAACAAGATATTGAGGTTATGTTACTTTATGAAGTAAAAAATGTAGCACTGACAAATTTAAATTTAGGAATTTAGAAGAACTGGAAAATAATGATTCGGAATTCTTTATTGACCCCACGTTTTGTACCAAGACACATAGCTAGGGTTCATGTTTCTATTTGGTCGCCTTTAGCAGAGGCTTTCAATACTCTTCCATCGCCAAAGTATCAAATTAAATCAAAAAATGTTGGCCTTTTCGGTGTACCTGAACTTACAACAGCTAAGGGATTTTTCGATATTAAACAAGATTGCGTGTTAAAGACTAATGGCCTTATCAGTGAAGCATTAAGTAATTGGCGGGCAAGAAAAATGGTAGAGATATTTGATGAAATATCAGATACTTTATGTAAAGTAGCGGATTTAGCTGAATTTATTCGTTCATCACATCCTCATGAAGAATACAGTTATGCTGCCCAGGTTGCATGTGCTACTGTCAGTGGAATTGTAGAAAAACTGAATACAAATATAGAATTATATGAAGTTTTGAAAAATGCTGTAAGGCAGGGAGATGTAGTAAAAACAACAGACGTTGATAATCATGTTGGTGAATTGTTTTTGTTTGACTTTGAACAGTGCGGTATTCATTTACCGGAGGAAACAAGAAATAAAGTAGTCCAATTGAATGATAGTATTTTAACTCTAGGTAAGTGGTTTACCTATGTATTAATTAATATTACGGAAATGTATATAATTCCTATAAAAGTACGTTATTTTAAATATTGTAGGTCAGCAATTTGTATCAGGAACAGCTACACCTCGTGTAATTAAAAAAGATCTATTGCCACCTAATGTAGGAAACTTTTTTATGACTGATTCTGATAAAGTAGTAATATCTAGTCTGTATACTGATTCAAATAGTCCTCTAGCACGTGAAATGGCTTATAAGATATTTTTACACCCAGATCCAAACCAAGAACAAATTTTAAGTCATTTGCTACAGTCTAGAGATGAATTGGGGAAATTGTGTGGTTTCAATTCATATTCAGAAAGAGCTCTCAAGGGTTCAACAATTGATACACCAGACAGTGTAAAAGAATTTTTGGACAAACTGAATTCAGAAATATGGGACATGGCACAAAACGATTTTGATTGCATGGAGAAATTAAAACAAACAGAATGTATGGGTGTCGGTCCATTGGCTTCATGGGATGTTCCATATTTTACACAGTCGGCTAAAAAAAATTGGTTTAGGGTGTCGTCTAAAGAGTACTCACCTTACTTCTCCTTAGGCGCCTGTATGGATGGACTTAATATGTTATTCCAGTCACTCTATGGCATTCAGTTAGTTAATAGTGATGTAGAACCAGGAGAATGCTGGTACACGGATGTTTATAAATTAGCTGTTGTGCATGAAACAGAGGGATTATTAGGTAAATAATTAAAATTAAATGTGATGAACTAAAATATAATAATTATTTTTTTCTAAAAAGGATATATTTATTGTGATCTCTATGAAAGAACTGGTAAATCAAATCAAGATTGTCATTTTACCATAAGAGGTGGTAGACAGTTGAGGGATGGTTCTTATCAGTTGCCTATAGTGGTTCTTATGTTGAATTTACCAGCGCCTAGATGGTCAAGCCCTTCATTGCTAACTCCAAATATGGTAGATAATTTGTTTCACGAGATGGGGCATGCTATGCATTCCATGTTGGGAAGGACCCAGTATCAGCATGTTACAGGTAAGTTATTACACACACATATACAAATTCTTACATTAGATTAGTATGAGTATTTTATACACTTATATTGTTTACACATAGAGTAAATAGCAATAAAACTATACCGGGTGCCTATAGGGGTGCCTTCTCAAAAGTGGCTCACCCCTATAACTTTTATATTTTTTCAGATAAAAATACGAGATTTGATATGTTAGTATATGATATAAATTAGGATTGATTGACCATATTCAATTCTTTTTGGCCACTTTCTGCTTCACCAGAAATGACTATAACTTTTGATTTTAAATGGCACCCTCGGTATTTTTTTACTTTATTCAAGAGAAAATAACACTCTGAATAGATTGGCGTATCTTATGTCAACTTTTGACATTTTCGCTTAAAACAAAATTGAATTTTAAATTTCAATCTAGGAGCATTGGAAAAATAAATTTGTTCATCTAATGTTTTTAGTGTCTTTTCCTGGCCAGTTAAAAGATGCTCAAATAGTATTTTTAGTCATAATTTTTTCAAACGGAATGAGGGTGGCTCATTAGCATATTTGGAAAAGGCGTTTTTTACGAATAATTTTGTACCACACATTTTGTATTTTGAGTCAAAATGTCGTTATGAATCGCATGTTGCAATTTCAAATAAACCATATTCAAAAATGTCAAAAGTTGACATATGATATGTCATTCTTTTTGGGGTGTTTATTTTTTTATCAAACATTTAAAAATCAAAAGTTGTAGTTATTTCCGGTGAAACAGGAAGTGACCAAAAACAATTGAATACCTCAATTAATCCTAATTTGTATTTATTTATTTATTTATTTATTGAAAACAACTTAACAGATACATAGATTCTTTATAGTTGCGTTAACTAAACTTTTTTGTGGAAAATGGTATATTATCGTTTCTAACAAACTGAATATTATTATTTGAAACTATATTTTATCTGTGAGCACGAGACTATAATACTGGTTGTTTCTCAATTGTTGTGCTAGGTTGTAGCTATGTTGTGCTAGGTAGCCACAATTTTTACACCACAGTTTTTTATTTTTACAGATAAAAACCGACATTTGGTATGCTAGTATGACATAAATTAAGATTGATTGAAGATTTAAAGCACGTATACAGGGTGGTCCGATTTGTATTCGGGAAAATTCGGGGGCATATTCTGCAGATAAAAATAAGTAATGTTTGTCTAAATTAGTATCCTAAAATGCTTCGTTTTGGAGATACAGGGTGTAGAACTTTTATTTTTATTTTATTTTAACTTTTTTGAAATAATTTCTGAAGTAATGTCGATATTTAGATGAAAATTGGTGTCTGGATGATTTTTAATATGAGCAATTTGGGATTTCGATGTCAATACGACTCCTACTTGTTGGGGACGCCACCTACATATTTTTAACTGGTTTGAAGAGTAATACCTTTTTGTCAATACTTGTATAAAACTACCGACTTATAAAATATACATTTTCGCATTTTTCATAAAAAGGCCTCTTGATCAAAATCGATATTCTCAAGATATTTGGAATGTAAATTATAAATGATAAATTTGGGAACTTTTTTTTTAAATTAATCATATCTTTTCCTAAAAATATTGTGATGTAACAGTTTCTGCTGAACATTTTCAATTTTAGTCAATGTTCACAATATATTGATAATTTTGATTCCAAATATCTCGAAATAAAAAGTACGGACGAAAAATTTTGGTTTTCAAACAAGTTAAATCATCCGTGCGATTCTGTAAACAAATTTCCTGTCTAGTGACTCTTCAATCGTATACAAATAGCATAGGCTAGGCAAGAAATTTCTTGCTACGGAGCTTACAGACTGCATGTCTGTCATATTGACATCGAAATTTCTCATGTCAAAAAAACTTCTCAGACACCAATTTTATACATCAACGTTAGTTCAGAAATGATTAGGAAAAAATCGAAATAAAAATAAAACTTCTACAATCTGTACCTCCGAAACGAAGTATTTTAGAATATACATTTATACAAACTTTTTTACTTAATTCGGTAGCAGAATATGCTACCGAAGTTTCACGAATACAATTCGGACCAGTCTGTATATGGATAGCATTATACCTTCCTTAATAGTTTTATTCAAAGCATAAAATCAATTAACATAACAATTATTGGGGTATATTTTTTTATCAGATTTCAAAACTATGAAAAATAAACAGTATGTGTCATATTTTTGAAACCATTAAAAATGTGCTATCTAATGCACTTTTACATACTGGGTGTCCCATTTAAAAATAATTTAGGTTATTTTTAATTTTCTGTTGCATATAAAAAATCAGTCTACAAACTATAACACTTAAAATATTTTTAGGCACTAGATGTAGTACCGATTTCGCAGAAGTACCGTCAATATTAATGGAATACTTTGCATCTGACATACGGGTACTAAAACGTTTCGCCAGACATTTCCAAACCAAACAGCCCATGACTGATGATATGTTACACAGACTGTGCGCCTCCAAGCACCTGTTTATATCCAGCGAGACACAACTGCAAATATTCTATGCTGCCATAGATCAAGTCTACCACGGAAAACATCCGCTCAGTGGCAGTACAACTGACGTATTAGCAACCACTCAAAGGAATTACTATGGTTTGCCTTACGTTCCTAATACCGCCTGGCAATTGAGGTTTAGCCATCTGGTGGTGTATGGTGCTAAGTACTATTCATATTTAGTGTCAAGGGCGGTAGCTTACTTGATCTGGAAAACGTATTTCGAAAAAGACCCTTTCAGTAGAGAAAATGGCGAACGATATAGGCGAGAGTGTCTGGGATTTGGGGGTGGAAAACACCCTAAAAAGTTGGTAGAAGATTTTCTGAAGGTCGACCCATCGGCTAGTGTGTTTGCCAAAGCCCTTTATCACGAAATCGAACACCATCAAGGTCAGGTCGATCTAGTAATAAAGAATAAGTGAACTCTTTAAGTGCATCATTTTTTATTGTATATATTTATTAACTAGACGTAGGTTATGTGGTTGTGAAATAAAAATATTTTTATTGATTCGTTTTAGTTTCTCTTTATACAATGAGTCTCAGAATTATATGGTTACATAGAAATAAGTTTATTCAAAAAAAAATCATGAAGCAGTCTGCAGTTTAGCAATGTGCAAATAAACTTGCAAATAAACTGGTTAAGAATATAATATATGACATTAGATTCCTACATTTTTTACGAAAACCTCAAGAATTTTCTATAAGGAGATATAATACACTAGCCACTTATTGGTCTAAACATTTATTTAATTTACTAGTGTATTTTATCAGTTTTAAAGAAGGTTTAACAGAGCTTATTCAACCAGTGTTACGACCATTTACATGGAACTTTAGACATCTATCTAGATATTTAGTTATCTTATATTATACAGGGTGAGTCTTAAATAAGTGCAAATCTTTTCAGGGCTTGTATATCTCGGTAAAAAAAACATATTTTTAGGGTTCCGTACCCGAAGGGTAAAAACGGGAACCCTATTACTAAGACTTCGCTGTCCGTCCGTCCGTCCGTCTGTCCCAAAGGTCTATCTTATGAACCGTTATAGCTAGACAGTTGAAATTTTTACAGATAATGTATCTATGTTGCCACTATAAGAACAAATACTAAAAACAGAATTAAATAAATGTTTATAAACAAAAAAGTACTTTCACTAAACATAATCTTTTAAGTAAGAATTTTACACAGAATCTTTCAAGTCCTCGGTGGCCGCGTGGTTTAAAGCGTTGGGACTTTACGCTGCTATGACGTTGGAGCCGTAGTAAGGCAGGTTCGAATCCTAGTCAAGGCGACTTTTTTTAACCGTTTTTTTTATTTTTACATATTTATTTTTACTTTTTACATATTTATATTGATTAATACAATTTTTAGTAATGTGTTTCTTCATTTTTTTAAAATTACTTATACACGCATTTAAAATTTCAGCTAAATTGGAAAAAAAGTTTATATAATATAGTGTCTAATGTTGTATGGATAATGTGCGCGAGTCCGACTCGCACTTGACCAATTTTTTCTTTACTGTTTTTCAAACCAGTCCAAAATAACCGAGATATTTTACTTTGAAAATTTCAAAAAAATGCCTAAATTTTGAGAACCACTGGATCGTTTCTGGATTTTCTTTCTTGTAAATTTAATCTACTGCCTATGTTGCCATGTTATGAATGTATTATGATTTTTAACTAAAAATTACAAAAAAATAAAAAAAAAACTTTCGCGAAAAAAATCTCATATATAGATGTGTTAATACACTCACCCTGTATAACCTCGGACTGTAAGCTTCATTGAAGCTTCGTTTATAAAAAATATCGAGACTATAATATCTGCCTTTGTACAGAGAACAAGTGTGGCAAATGAAACGTGGATCCTTAAAAACTAGCAAAATTGACTGGTTGTCTAAAGGTGTGAATTCCTAGCGTCCTCTGGCGTCCGCGGCCCGCCGTACAGTAGTTCGTTTCCGTATAAAGTGATACATTACTTTTCATTGATTTCATAAAATACACTAGGAAATCTTAAGAGTCCCAGTTCTTTAACACACGCTGTGCAGTTTTTTTTTTTTTTTTTTTTTTTTTTTTTTTTTTTGTGGTAAAAACCTTTTATAGGCGAGTGGTGCTCGTTCCCATCACCATCTCGAGAGAAACGATCATAGAGACGAACCCCAAACAGTGTGGGAGTCGAATTGTTACCCACTAAAAAAGTCCACCTCCGAGGAGTCAGCTCCTCCTCTCCCCCTTACCCGGAACCGCCGCATGGCATTACTTCGGGTTCGTATGTGATCTTGGGGTTTATATCTTATCTATGTTATTTTTTATCTATATTCTATTCTATTTATTTTTAGGATTTCTTGCCTTTTCATCTTTTCCTTTCTCTATTATTATTTCTTTCATAAATGCCCCTACCTTTTCCCATATTTCGCTAGTTTTGGTCATTTTCATAATCAAGGTGTCCGAAGTTAACATTCCTACATCCGACAATAAGGCAGACCTTCCGTTTTCCCATCTCGGACAACAGAACAACGTGTGCTCGGCATCGTCGATTTCGTCGCAGTACATGCAGTTGCCATTTGGTATTTTCGAGCAGTTTAACTACAGTTTAACGCTTATTAGCTAAGTTATTGCTTTTTAAGATTTTGTTCAACTTTTTTCTAAAAGAACTTCTTCTTAAACTTATCTTTTTAACAACTGCTCCCCTGTTTGCTTCCGAATCAGTCCTTTAATTTTTGTCTACGAAGTGTTATATTGTGCTGCGGATTTTTTATTCCTGTCACAATAATCCTTATTTTTTATATTGCGCAAACATGGCATGATTTTTTATATTCAATAAATTGGCATAAGAACTGTTTACTACAAATTGGCATTTTGTTTCCAGTTATATAAGCTAAAAATATCTAATCTACGGACTGAAAATTTAAATGAACTCTTTGCTCATGCCAAATTCAAGTAGGATGTGATTTCGCTCAGGTCAGAGCAACGGCCTGCACGTTAGTCGGCCAAAACTTCTCATATACGTACCAATATACCTGCACAAACCAAAAAAAGTTTGCATAGGCGGCCTGAGATGAAAAAAAAAAAACTGAGCGTCTGTAAGTGGCCTTAAGAAATGGACTGTTTTATTAATTTTTCCTTCCATAAACGTGTAAACCATTTTTCACCAAAATTATGAGAATTGCAGCAATATTTTGAAGAACAATAAACCTGTCTCAAGAATGTAAGAAGTATAAAAAAAATTACAAATGTCTAATACAGTCATACAGAATTCTTCTGAGAAACAAAATATTTATAAAAAAATAATTCTTCTATACTCTTTTATGAATATATTCTTCTCTTACAGGAATTTGAAATCGAAAAATTAAAATCTAAACTATACATAACAGAAGCAGACGTTTTGGAACTGAAGTCGATGAACGAACAGTTGCTAAAAGAGAACAAACTAAACGAAGCTATGCATATTAATTTGACAGTAGAAAAAGCAGCGCCTGACACGAAGTGTTCAGAAACTTCGGATTCACCTGAGCGATTCGAAATCATCGATAAAAATATGCCTTTGTTTAAGAAAAACGACTTGGAGGATACAATTTCCAATAATAGCTTTAACGTCAACGATTGGACATCTTTGAGTATGCCTGAAAAAGAGACTTGTGAAGAAAATGTTGTTTTTAAAGAACTCGATTTTAGTAATTTGAGGTAACATATATATTAATTAATACCCTTACTTCTTAGCAATTTATTTACATATTTATATACTATGTGGTATTAAAAAGCCAACATCGTAAGATTAATTTTATTTATTTTAAAGTACCGAAGAGGAGTTGAATTTTAGCGTTTTCTTTAAAATTAATCCTATTTATAATGTTATTCTTTCTATACTTGAAACTCCTTTTCTAAGACGAAACGAAACTGCAAAAAGTCAAATAAATATTAAGGAGTCAAAAATTTCCGCAGTATTATTATTAATAAAATTATTAACCTCATGTAGCCTCACCTTAACCTCACCGAATATGTTAACAAGTTTTTATCAAAATACAAGAAGTTAGTCTGGATGTTACATTTTCAATGTTACCTAGTATATTTTACTGTAAATTTTACAGTAAAGGAAAAAAAATAATAGAATATAGCTTTCCTTCCAAAAAATCCTATATGGGTATTTCGCCACTGCGAGAAAATCTAGTTATTTTTTGTAAACACTGCTGCGTTAATCTAAACGGAAACTACTTATCAGCAGTTAGGTTTACAAATATACAAATTTGCCTAACGAACAAAAAAATGCTTAACGTTTCGGAAAGTTATCTCTTTCCGTCGTCGGAAGCAAAAAAATACCAGGAATAAAGAAAAAAAATATTTCAAATATTTAAATTCAACTATTCGAGAACACTAAATCACTTTATCACTTTCCGACGACGGAAAGAGATAAACTTTCCGAAACGTTAAGCATTTTTTGTTCGTTAGGTTAAAAAAATACAAAGAATAAAGAAAAAACTATTTCAAACATTTAAATTCAACTATTCGAGAACACTTTAATGTTGTCGAATTTTTTTATAGTATATACCGAGTGCGTCTCAAAAGTGGCTCACCCCCTATAACTTTTTTATTTTTTCAGATCAAAAAAACGAGATTTGGTATGTTAGTATATGACGTAAATTGGGATTGATTGACGTATTCAATTGTTTTTATTCACTTCCTGTGTGTTGCAAAGTTTTGACATTTTCGTTTTAAAAAAAATCTTATTTTAAATATCAATCTAGAGTGCCATGGTTGTGTTAAAAACACTAATTTTTATATAAGGAGCCTTGGAAAAATAGATTTGATCGTCTTTTTTTTTGTGTGTCTTGTCCTGGTTGGCTGAAAGATGCACAAATCACATTTTTAATATCTCAATTTTTTCAAATGGAACGAGGGTGGCTCATTAGCATATTTGGAAAAAGCATTTTTTGCGAATAATTTGGTACCACACACTTGGCTTTTCTACTCAATTAACTTTCGACTTTCGTTACAATTTCAAAAAAACCATATGAGAAAATGTCAAAAGTTGACATATGATATGTCATTCAATTCAAAGTGCCATTTTCTATCGAATAAAGTAAAAAAATACCGAGGATGCCATTTAAAAATCAAAAGTTGTAGTAATTTCCGGTGAAACAGGAAGTGACAAAAAACAATTGAATACGTCAATCAATCCCAATTTATGTCATATACTAACATACCAAATCTCGTTTTTCATCTGAAAAAATAAAAAAGTTATAGGGGGTGAGCATCCGGTATACGACGGAAAGAGATAAACTTTCCTAAACGTTAAGCATTTTTTTGTTCGTTAGGCAAATTTGTATATCTGTAAACCTAACTGCTGACAAAACTATTTTATTTTGTAGATTTTCTTGCAGTGGCGAAATACCCATATAGGATTTTTTGGAGACATGAATCCGCCACATAGGTATAGACATTTTTTAGAATATATCTTTGTGTGAATCAAATCGTTAAAATATTATAATTATTGATTCTTAATTGCTTCTGGGTTCCTTTTTAGCTCTCACTGTTACGTTAAAGAAGTATTCTCTCTCTGTTATCTAAATATAGACCAAAACGTGGATAGCGATATCATAGGCGTGCTAAATCAGGAAATAACTCTGGAAGTACTAGTCCATATCGTCTCTCAGACGTTACTAAATATTATTCCCAACATTATTTTGAACAAAAGGGAGGAAGTGATACCTTTGTTGATGGCCTCAATTTATTTAAACCCAAAAGCTTCAGAGAGAGACAAACTTTTGCAACAGTTGTTTAATTTGAAGAAGAAACCAACAGAAAGTGAAAGATTAATTATTCTTACCGGTAATGTATTTATATTGTTTTTTTTTCTGAAAAAATAAAATAAAATGTATAACTTTCTAGGTATAATAGGTATTGCAAAGTATGCTGGCGAGCAGTTGGTAGAAAACGAAATTTTGCCGCAATGTTGGTTACAACTTACCCATAAATATTTAGAAAGGCGTCTATTGGTCGCAGAAGCTTGCACAGTTTTAATACCATACGTTTCTGTAAGTAATTAACAGTATTATTATTATAGATTAGAAAAAGAATTGAACAATAAGTATTTTAGTTAAATTAAAAAAATTTAGTCACATTTTTTGAATTTGTGCATATTTCAGTAAGTAAAGTTAGTTGTATTTCATCTATATTATTATTGTTTATATAATTTGTTTTATAATTTTTAACTGGAAGTACTGTATAACAGTATCCTTCAAAATTCAGCGTACCAAAATATGCTCTTTGAACCACCCTGAATATTGACAAATGTATTTTCAAAATTACCCAGCTATTGACTGCATATTTTTATAACAAATATTGAAAATTTCACACTAGAAACTTGAAATGAAGTTTTCCAGAATTCTGGGTTATACTACTAAATTCTGTTTAAGGATTTAAAAAAAATTGAAATAATCAAGATAGCTTTTCAAGCAGATCAGTTTTAATCCCAAACAAAAACTAACATTAGACAACGGATCTGAAGCAGCGAAAGGAATGCGGACAAAAAAACGATTTTAAGTTTAACAATCCAAAAGCAAAATTGCTGGATATTAGCTATAAATTAACATATTTTTAATAGATGTATATTTATTTAATTAAAATTGATTTCTTTCATTGTGCCTATTATAAAAGGTAAATATATTCTCCAAATATGTCATAGGCGCGCTTCGGACAAATCTTAGAAAATTCATCATGCCATCCCAGATACAACCAACCTGATTAGTAAAGATTCTCGCGCATTTCATTGCTAGGCGGTAGCCTTGCGCATATTGTTTTCCTATTGGCCAGTTCTCTCTCCAGTATGCCCGCCCTTTGCTTGAAATAGTGGAAATTTTGATTGCTATTGAATAGTCTAGTAGGGATGTTTTTGTATGGTGTTTTATACATATAACTTGATTTGTGTATATTATAATTAGTACACGCTTTTTAACAAATATTACTTTTGTTTATTAGAATATTACTATAATATAGTATATTTTTTAATATATAATATTTTTAAAGTTTACTGAAACATTACATACGATTATAGAAATTCCTGATATATTTTCAGAAAACCCGCACGCCTCTGAATATGTTATGAATGATAGGCCATGTTTTTAGAAAATTGCGTCCCCTTATCTGTTGTTTCAGATCCGTCTGTAAACCGCTTAATACGAAATAATGTGTCATTTTCTGTGGCACTGTTCTAGTATGTAGTTCTTATATTTCCTGATTTTTTGAAAAAAAATCATTTCGTTTTTCAGAATCCTATTCGAAACTCTTTGATTCTTTCTATGCTTCAACAAATGCTTGAAGACAAAGAAGATCCGGTAAGGGAACAAATTGTAAAAGCTCTGGCTTTGTTGTTTTCCACGTGTGACGATAAAGACAAGTATAACCAGTGCGAACAGATAGCTTTAAATACTCTAAACGATTCCAGTAATTCAATAATTAACCTAAGTACTCAAATCTTGTTTCCAGTCCTAGCCAGGTGGGCCTTAAAAATCGGTAAGTTAAATTAATTAATAGAAATATGTACTATCAATTTAACCTTGATTTTGTATATTTATTTTATTACTTTAAGGTTATAAGTTAGTTTTTAATTTATTTTCAGGTATTTTAAATTCTAGTCTGTTAAAGAATCTACTGCATTTATTAAATAATTACATAAAAAATACGGAATCTCAAACGAAACTCAGCCAAGCGACTGAAAAAGTGCACAGAGTGGTGTGCGTTATTGACAATTTACTTCCGTTCTTATTGATTTCTGTTGCCTTTAATGAACATGTGATTAGTAATATTGAGAAGGATATATCAGTAGAGTTAAGTAAGTACTGTTTTAAATTATTTTTAATTATAATCGATTTAAATTTAATTTACTGTAACATGTTTTATATTATCAACAGAAAAATTATTTCAGCTTATCAACAAAATAAAAGTATATGATCGAAAAAAAACGGCGCACAGTGTGAAATTTTGACGTTCTAGGTGGAATTAATTCGATTTACCAACTGTATCCCAGGTCCTAAGTTATTGTAAAATGTATTCAAGGAATGTCCATTCATCATTAAAAAAACATATGTTTATTTTTAAAATCAAACTTATCATTTAAAAATGCTCATTACTTTATCTTTCGGACAAAACGATAAAATCATCTAAAATATCTAGCCCATTTAGTCAAATTTTGCAGGCGTTTTAGTGAGATTAGGCCTACGTGGTAAGCTATCATTTTTTAAAAATATTTCTGCTATATAGTTTGACTGAAAAGAAATGTTAAAGAAGTACCTGCAGTTACCTATGAAAAATTGTAATTTAGCTACTTTAAATATGTGTGACATAATACCACATAATACCACGATAACTTTGTCATTTCTTGAGAGCCCACTTATTATAGCATATGACATAAAAAAAATTAGCTGCGTTTAGGTGCCCTTTAGCTATACATATATATATATTTTAAGATGGCTGCGCGCTTCACTCGTCAGGATGTATATGAGGTTTGTACTTCTAACACTCCAAAGAAGCGGCGAAGCGCTGTGGTGAATTAAGTTAGTTAACTAAAATCAAAGCGTTCCCAGTATAAATATTGGAACGCTTTGATTCTAGTAACCTTTCAAGAGCTGTCAAAGCAAATATAAGAGTTTCGGCCAGGACGTTTTGTCAGAAAATCGAATTAACAAATAATGGAAAAAGGCAAATAGTCATAAACATATCTTCTTATCTAAGAATTATAATCGGTTAAGGGAAGATTTTCGATTATCTGTATTAGCAAGAGTACCAAAATGAAAGAAAAACCTCAAATACAGTCTCTTTGTGCGGTGCGGTTCGTTGAGAAATCAACAATTGATTATTTTATTTTCTTTGATTGTATGATTTTCTCCGATTTAGATAGTTTTTCCAAATCGGTTTGACCCACAAAAATTTTACAGTGTATTTTGCTTGTATATAGTACTTTCTTATTTGCCTTTTTTATAGATTATGTATTTTGGTTCGGCAACACCACATTTTGTAGAATTTTAGACACTCCGTATATTAAACTCCGTAGTTACTAACCTCAAAACTATTCTCTAATCATCAAAATTTTTTATTAAAAATAACATTTTATGAATCACTGATAATATAGTAAAAAAAGTTTCCCATATGTATCAAACATTATGAGAGCGCCTGTATATGCCCTACTACACTAAATTTCACACTGTGTGGCGTCAGAGCTGGTTTGAAAGTGACGATCGATGACATTCGCCATATAATTGCACATATTTTTATGGATTTTGTGGTTCTTTTAAACTAATTTATTAAATACAAAAGCCAAAGCAATAAGACTCTAAGTCTCGGTCTCAACATTTAATATGACAAAGTTAAATTGTTGTTCCGTGTTTTGCTCATACAAGCATTATCAGACAAATATACAGATAAGGTCAGACCAGACACGTTTACATCTTACATATTAAAAAAACTCTAATTTATTATACGATGAAAACTACAGAGTTTATACTCCTTAACTGTTTCACAACAGTAACAATACACAGCTATACAGGGTGTCCCAGGCTGAGCGTGCATTAGAAGTTTCTAGAGAACCACAATATCTAGATCGGAGATTTTTTGCACATCATTGTTTTACAACGAGATCTATCGATTAAAAATATTTCCAATATGGCGGCTCTTCCGGAAATACCGGAAGTTGACAGCAACCAGCAACTTTCTTATTTTAAATAAGTGACCCCATTTTTTATTACATACTTAAATTCTCTGTAAAATTCTATGAATATTGATGTTAAATACTCTATATCTAACATTAACCTTTTTTGAGAAAAAAAATATTTAAAATTTTTGGACGAAAAAAACTACCTGTCAAAAAAATTTGTATAGCCTAAAAGTCAAATTTAATGATTACCACAGCCACTGTGACATAAAGAGAAGAAATGTGGCTATCTATTTCAAAAATTAAATTATTCAAATGTCATATAATAATGGCGGTAGATGTCAAGGAAATAAGTGATTAAAAAATTATCATAAATCATTTTTTTCAAATGGAAATTCACTTTTTTTATTTCACTAATGAAACGGTTTTTCAATTCGTTACTTTTTAACTATACATGTTCTATACCTAAAATAATTCGTTTTTAAGTTATTTAAGATTTAGTTTGAAAACGTATATTTTTCTTCATTTTATCTAGCTTCATTTGACATTAAGCGTCAAATGGTCAGACAATTTATTTCCATCTGTCAGAGAACGACTTATTTGAATTTCCTATAGTGTAAATACTGCCTACTTAAGAATTTTAAAAGTGTATTTATAAAAATATATCTCGTATTTTCGGTCTTTAGTGATCTCTAATAAATAGTTGATATTATTAATAATATTCTGTATGATCGAAAAAAGAAACAGCGCAAAGTAGGCCCGAAAATGATACTGCTTTTTGAACAAAGCGTCACAATATGACATGGCCAGATCTATTATTTTACATCACTTGACGTTTAAAGTCATAGGCTACTGGTTAAAATCAAGAAAAATATACGCTTTAAAACTAAATCTTAAATATCTTAAAAACGATTTATTTTAGGTATAGGAACATGAATAGTTAAAAAGTAACGAATTGAAAAGCCTTTTCACTAGCGAAATAAAAAAAGTGGGTTTCCATTTGAAAAAAATGATTTATGATAATTTTTTAATCGCTCAATTCTATGACAGCTGCGGCCATTATTATATGACATTCGATCAATTTAATTTTTGAAATAGATAGCCACATGTTTTCTCTTTATGGCACAGTGGCTGTGGTAATCACTAAATTTGACGTTTAGGCTATACACATATTTTTGACAGGCAGTTTTTTTCTTTCAAAAAATTTAAATATTTTTTTTCTCAAAAACGATCAATGTTAGATAGAGAGTGTTTAATATCAAGATTCATAAAATGTTACAGAGAATTTGAGTACATAATAAAAAATGGGGGCACCCATTTAAAATAAGAAAGTTGCTGTCAACTTCCGGTATTTCCGGAAGTGCCGTCATATTGAAAATATTTTTAATCGATAGATCTCGTTGTGAAACTATGATGTGCAAAAAATCTCCGAGCTAGCTGTTGTAGTTCTCTAGAAACTTGTAATGCACGCTCGGCCTGGGACACCCTGTATAATGAATTCTACAACTTTTTTGATATTATTAATAATTCATTAGAACATGCCGTTCAGTTGCCATATTCACAGATAAATAAACAGCGCTAAAAACACTCAGACCCACTAATGTGGGATTGTGTGCGCGCTTCTGCGATTGCGAACGTAGCAATTTTACATTAGTTTGTGTACAGGGACACGCTGGGTCACAAGGGTAACGAATAAGCAGATGAAATGCCCAAACAAAGCTCGTTAATGCCATTCATCGGCCCAGAATCGTCCTGCGGCGCCGCACAAGCATTGACAAGAATGGCCACAAAACAGTGGGGCAATAATTTTAGAACTGTGGAGAAATCCACCAGGGACAGCCGAAAAAGTTTATAGTAGTCATATAATTTACGGCAAACCTGATATGCACGCAGAGAAATTCTATCTAAGCTCATAGATAAGTGAGTAGGATAGATTGGACACTCCCTAACTAAAACCGAAACCTCTATTTTGCGCCATCTGTCGGCTTGAAAGCATACTACCCTGGATGCGGGTAGTACCCTTTCGGCGGGACTTTTGAGTTATATTTAACTTTTAGTTAATAAATTAGTCCGGTTTTATAACCACCGGTAAACTTCAGAGTGGCAATAAAACTTGACATTTTCTATACAAAATGTTAAGTTAAACTACCATTCAGAGGTGAACCAAAACGTATAAGACCGGACGTTATCTGTTTTTTCTTTTTAAACACCAATACAGGTGAAAAAAACAAATTTCCATTAGATTTAGTTAAAAAGTTACCAATTTTTATAGGAAGGATTGTGAAAAATAATTACTGTTAAGAGTTGGCCTTACAAAAGCTTTACAGGTGCTTTGATCTTTAAAGTATGTTTAAAAAACATAAATAAACAATCAACAATTAATAATTTTTCCGAGGTAAATCAGACAACAATTAATAAGATTCCGCAAGTAAAGAAACAGCTTATAAAGCTAAAAAGTACTGTCTAACTGATCTTTATTTCATAATCATCGCTGACGCCGTTTTTTTCTCGATCATACGCTATTAGGCAGTGATAGGCCATTGACGAAGCGTTATATGAAATTTATAATCTAATTAATAATTCAAAACTAAACTATACTCGCCTTGGTCGCTGCTATACCGGGTGCGTCTCGAAAGTGGCTCACACCTATAACTTTTTATTTTTTCAGATAAAAAACGGGATTTGTTATGTTGGTATATGACTTAAATTAGGATTGGTTGGCGTAGTTAATTGTTTTTGGTCACTTTCTTTTTCACCGAAAATGACTACAACTTTTGATTTTTAAATGGCACCCTCGGTATATTTCTACTTTATTCGATAGAAAATGACATTCTGAGTAGAATGATGTCTTCAACTTTTGTTGACAATGATGTTGTCAACTTTTGTGACATTTTCGCTTAAAAAAATATTGTATTTTAAATTTAAATCTAGAGTGTCACGGCTGTGTTAAAAACACTAATTTTTAATCAAGGAGCCCTGGAAAAATAGACTTGATCGTCAAATGTTTTTCGTGTCTTTTCCTAACCGGTTAAGAGATGTCCAAATCGTATTTTTAATCATATCTCAATTTTTTCAAATGGAACAAGGGTGGCTCATTAGCATAGTTGGGAAAAGCATTTTTTTACGAATAATTTGGTATCACACACTTGGTATTTCGAGTCAAATTGTCGTTATGAACCGCATGTTACAATTTCAAATAAACCATATGCGAAAATATCATAAGTTGACATATGATATGTCGTTCTGTTCGGAGTTCTATGTCGTTCTCTATCGAATAAAGTAAAAAATACCGAGGGTGTCATTTAAGAATCAAAAGTTGTAGTAATTTCCGGTGAAACAGAGAGTGGCCAAAAACAATTGAATACGTCAATCAATCCTAATTTATGTCATATACTAACATACCAAATCTCATTTTTTATTTGAAAAAATAAAAAATTTATAGAGGTGAGCCACTTTTGAGACGCACCAGGTATACCCTCAGAAGTGATTTCTCGCACTTTCTACACACCATCTGAATTGTTCTGGAAGCACGATAATATTTGGCATCTCTAGCGCCACCTTTCAACTTTATTATTAACTATGTTTTCCTTATAACCTAACCTAACCAACTGTTGTTATAGTCTGGTAGCAGTGGACATCTCTACTGCTAGCGGTCTGTGACAAGATAAAGTCATCGATTTTCATTTCCAAGCTAACTCTTTACTTCCCTATGATAAAATATAGTCAATAAATATATAATTAACTTTTTGAGCTTTTTCAGGTCTCTTAATTTATTTAATAGTAACAGTGTTTAATTAAATGTTGAATATTCTATAGTTCTTTAATTTCCAGGATCAGATTTTGTGAAATTATGTACGCCCTTAACGAATCCAGTCAGTTTCCATAAAACAGACTATAGCTGTGGGACGCTGTTACATGAATTCGATAAATATATTTTGGAAAATCCCAATGTTTCCTGGACAGAAATGGACTGGATGGTCGACATTATGTAAAGGAATATTTTTCTATTTAAGTTCATTTCATAAAGATCGTCTTTTTAGGTTGCCTGACCTTTTCAACAATTTGCATCACGTTGACCTCTCTCAGCAATCTATCGTGGAAATATTTATAAATTTATTTTCGCATATCTACATAGTGTTTGGTAAAAACTTTACCAGGTACAAAATCCGTCCTATATTACAGAAAAAAATTCAAAATCTCGAGCAGGTCGTGAGTAGTTTCAATCAGTTTTGTCCCAGTTTGAATATTATTCCTATCTACCTCACTGCGCTCATTTTTACGGAGGACTACGATGAGGTTTCCAGCATTTTGAAGAAATTTTTATGTGTTCTGCCTTTGTGTGGAACGCCTCTGGATTCGCTGGATTTAACAGTGCGCAAACTGTGCGAGTGTGGATTGCAGGTAGAAATATTTTTATTTTATGATTGTGTGTTTTGGTTCAAATATTGTTGATTATAATACGAACAACCGTTTCTACCGTCAAATCTAATAATTAAAAGATCAGAACGTGTATTTATATTTTACTTTATTTATTATACTTTTTTTGTACAAGAATGTACATGTACATTGAATAAAAATACTAAGGAATAAATATCGATAAAGCTGGCGACAGCGGAAAGTGGTTTTGATATGACTAATTTTAGTTCCGGTTGATCATTGTGGTGATTTTTTTAAATGTTAAAATATAAAATAGGTGAATTGAAATATTTTCTGGATTTGTTTTTTTTTATGTAGTGTCTCAATAATTGTTAATAATTAATATTGTTAATTTGTTGTTGAAATTTATTTCTAATAAAAATACATAAAGTCATTATTTAATAAGAAGTATCTATATACAAGGTGTGTCAAAAAGTTATTGAAGCAAAATTTACTGGAATTTCTTTGGCGTATCTATAGTAACAAAAAAAAATATTGACATAATATATCATGACAACTGTCATTGAAAGTGCAAAATAAATAATCATCTATATAAATAAAAAATATAGGGTTATATAAAACATAAAAGCTGTACATAAGTAACATAAGTTGATTTTACTTCTGTGTTTCAAGTTTTATATAATAATATATACAGGAACTTAAAAAATCTAGTTTTCGACTATTCTTAGAAATAAAAGATTTATTGTTAAAAAAGTACTTTTTAAGTGTCTCATGATTCAGTGAAATTAACTGTAATTCAATTTTTCGATTTATTCCACTTTGGAAAAAACTTAATAAAATCAAAATTGTTCCCGAAACGATATCCGATAATTATGTTATAATCGTTGATCGAAGAAATAAGATGCGCAACCTTACGGGCGATTTCGTGGCACAAAACCTGTCCGAGATTTAGTTGAGCTCTGCGCCGCTGCGCGCTGTTAGTGGTTTACTGCGCAGCGGATAAGGGATACCCTATACTCTGTTTTTTTTTCTCAGGTAAGATTTCGACAGACAATGACAGAAAAAAAGCAGATGACGTCCATACCTATCCATTTATTTAACTAAAAAAAAAAGTTTCTAATATTTTTTAAGTTAACTATGGATGGGTTTATACATATATAAATCCGTCATGCGTCATCTCTTGTTGTTTTTAACATTTTTAACCAGTTTTATTGGTTTATTTCAAAAGGGACAGATCATATTTCAATATTATTGGTTTAACAGAAGGATGAACGATAAACGGACGCCGATGCGTATGAACTCGACTTATGATTTTTGAGAGTAGTCAAATTATTGCCAAATTATAGGTTATAATTTTGTGTCAAATTATGTCAAATAGAAATGATAAATATTTAGCATTTTGCATTTTGATTGTGTTATTACATGTATTTCGCGTTTTTTAAAATTAGGTGGAGGAAAACTAAAAGGAGAAGTTAAGTGTTGACCCAGACCATAGTTTACAGTTAATATTCGGTGCCCAGAGACCGTTTGCCAGAGATTATGGCTAGAGAGTTGTATTAGCCACAAATAAAGTTTTATACTATCTTGTATACAGTGTGTACATAAAGTATGGAATAAATTAATTTTCTCAAACTGGGATTTTAGTAAAAAAAAATGCTCGAACACGTCGGTCTATTTTGTAAAAGGGGCATTTTTTACGCATATTACCTTGCCTCTAGCTTCACCCCCCGAGCGGGGGTGAGTGGCACCCCTAGTTTTTGTAATGGGAAGGGGGGTCGAGTGATACCTTATTTTAAAGATATTTCGCTAGAGATTATAACCCTTGAGTTTGAAGTTGCTACCATAATTTCTGTTAATATGGCAGCTTGACAAAACTAAGAAAATTAGGGATTTTGACAAGCTGTCATGTTAACAAAGATGACACTAGCAACTTCAAACTCTAGGACTATAATCTGGACCGAGAGACCTTTAAAATAAGGTATCACTCGACCCCTTTTACAAAAACTAGGGGTGCCACTCACCCCCACTCAGGGGGTGAAGCTGGAGGCAAGGTAATATGCCTAAAATGTCCCCTTTTATAAAATAGATCGACGTGTTCGAGCATTTTTTTGAAATAAAATCCCAGTTCAAGAAAATGAATTTATTCCATACTTTATATACACACTGTATGATACCAAAAACTGGAGTATCTGTAAAATAGCAGCACACGATAGGTAAATAATAATCATGTTGAATAATTATATTGATAAATGTAATAATAAATGCGGGAAGTTGCTTGAGCTTGAAACACGGCTTAAAAGCAGGAAATCTTTGTTATATCTATTTTAGTGTGTGGTGTCTTTTAAAATACACCCTTGCTTGTTTTGTATTAACACCTAGTGTAATTGTTTTTAATAACCCGATTAGAATTTTTTGAAGTAATCACTCGTCACTCAATTTTTAAATATATTAATTTTTTGCTATGCGTTCCAATTATACCAACTTATTTCTTTGTAAAATAAAATTAACTACTTTGAAAATAAAACGATAGACACATCTATCACTGTCAAGGATCTTGTCGTTGGACAGACTATACCGTAGTTCTGCTCACAGTTGACACAGTGGGTGGTTGCCGGAGACAGTGTTGCCAGAACTACGGATTAATCCGTAGATTTACGGATTTTGGGTACAGAACGTTAATAATACGGATTTTCTATCATTAAACAATTTAATATAATATTATATGACTAAACAAAGAACGTCGTCAGAGTTGGCTGAGAAACGAAGATCGCTGTTATTTCACATTATGTAAAATATTATGGTAAATGTCAATAGTCATCATTTCCAAGCCAACTAAACGACTTTTTTCGATCATACGAAATATTCAGTGCCTATAAAAGAATTTTTATCTTCATTGTTTATTCTATGTTTAACACAAATAAATTTTCAATATATAAACGCGGATTTTTCATCCAAAGGTATGTTCGTCAAACTTATTACAGATTTTACCCATTTTAATACGGCAACACTATCGCCTTCAGTTCCACACCGTCTTCGATATAATCTAACGCCCTTACCGTATTAGAGAAAATGGGCGTTTTATGCGTTGACCGCAGAACGAGTAGAGACTCCACTGTCCAGCACTTGAGACGTAAGGGGAAATCAAATCAGCCTTGTCACAAATTTGCCCATTAGGTTGCATATCTTCCCAATTCTTTCAATCAACGATATAATTCTATTCTTTTAAACTTCTATTTTAGTTATAAGGAATTTAATAAAAAAAACATATAAAAAAGCCAAATACATTTTGATATATCTATTTCTATATATTCTTGGCTTGAAGTAATATTTTTGTAATCTTTCAGGAACTAGTTGTGGACTGTCTTTGGTCCGCAGTAGTACACCAGAGACCTCTAGTAAAATCAGCCGCAGCTAGTTTATTTTGTAGCATAGTGGGCAGTTGCAACGAGGAATTATTAAAGTCCAAAGTAACTGCTGCTATTGTAACATTAGCTAGTGACAACGACATGTATGTTAGATAAAAAATGTAGGTTATCCTAAATTCTATAAATTTGACTTGTCTTTTTAGGCTTGTGAGAACAGCTACGTTGCCTGCTTTAGGGAGTTTAGTTAGAAATTGTAGAGTTAAGGAGATTCACGACAAAGCATATATGCAATTACAAACCTTTACTTCTGAACCTTCTTTGAAAGAGAACCATTCTCTTCTTAGGCAGCTGATAGTAACTCTTGGAGATATAGTCAATAGCAGCAGTAGTTCTTTTAGGAATGACAGTAAGTCTGTTATATAGCCCGAATTGCGAAAAATTACTATGTAATGCTTTGAATTGCTGAAATAACTAAATTAATTGATTGATTGATTGAAAGAAGACTATTGCACCAGAATATTTTTGTCTAGAAGTCATATGGAATCACTGAGACAACTTTCTAAGTAGTTGTTTGTAACCAACCTAACCAAACTTTTTTTATTGTTTTTTTTTTCTGATGTTGATGAATGATTCCTATACTTAGTTTTTATAAATGGGGAGGTTTACTGAATAAATTTATCACTTTTTTATCTTTCTTTCTTGTAATTCTTGTTGTATAATGCCGTCTTCTTCTTTTATATTTCGCACTATGTAAACATTTTAAAGGTTTTAATTTAGTTCATATTTTTTTCAGTAATTTTACCACAGCTTGTAAATTTTTCGATTTACATGTCGCAAATGACGAATCAAACTCGGAAAGTGGACTTAGCTTTAGCTCTGATAGAAGCTTTCACTCACGTAGTTTATAGTCCTTTGAACAAGCAAAGTATAAGTTCAGCAGTAAAGGCGGGATTAAAGTAAGTTAAACTCATTGAGTAAATATATTTTCTTAAGAGTAATAATTTTTGATGGTATTATTTTTAACTCTTCTCATACCGTATGATCGAGAAAAACGGCGTCCAGTTGGCTGGGAAATGAAGATCGATGACATTTCCGATATAAATTTACATATAAAATGACTGTGAGTTTGATTTCATAGCCATCGCTGACGCCGTTTTTTTCGATCATACGGTATTTAAATGCTCGTTTAGTTGGGGATCTTTTGGTATATAAAGGATGCATCAAAATTAGTTATATTTTTCTCATCTATTTCGATTTGATTACCGTTTATTTATGTTTATTTTGAGTAGGTTCTATATCAAAAATTTATATTTTAATAATTTTTTGTTTTTTTTTTGACTTTATAAATAAATACATTTTTAGATCTTTAGAAACTGTGATTTCCGAAAACCAGTCATTGTCAATCCACTACGAAACGGTCCTGGGCATGATAAAAGAATGTGAGAACAAATCAAGTCAGAATTCTCCGATTTCGCCGAGGGAGAAAGGCAACAGCGCGACATCTTTAAGTCAAAACGTCAACCAGGGCGTCGAAGAGATGCGGCAGAGAGTGAGCAAAATCTTTCACAAGTCAAATATTTCCAAACCCAACACGTTACCAAATATCCAAGGCATTTTTAAGAAGAAATAGAGAGTTTTCTATTTCTACATTTATTTTTGTAAGTTATGAATAGTTTATTGTAGGTATGGTTGGTAAAGTTATGCCTGGAAAGGGCTTTTACACAACATATTTACATGTTTCGAAATATAAATACACAAGAGCAACAAAAGTAAGTAACATCCGTCCATAGTTCATTGGTGGCGTTGAAAAAATTATTGGGAGGTAACAAGTAACAAAATAAAATAAAAATCCTTATAATAGATATATAAGCACAAGCACAGATACTGTAGTCTGTATAATGTTCGTTCAATTGTTGTATGCTGTGTCTGAAATCAGTTCATATTGTTTAGAAAACTTCAAGTACGTTCCGAAATTAATAAGAGAGCTCGTTCCGATTTTATTAATAAGTAAGAACAAGTAGGTATGTTCGACCTTACTTCATTTTGATTGTGTTTCAATTCATCATTTTAGACGCACATTCCAGTTCTAGTAATAAACATTTTAGTAACAGACGGTTTGAATTTTTTTTGACAGCGTAGTCGATTTTTAATTTTGACACTGATCGATATACGTCGACAAGATCATAACCACAAAAATTAAAGGATAGTTACTAGAAACAACATGCAGTGATTTACGAAATATCGTAATGACTGCTACAATCTATTTCATCCCGTTTTAACGTGAAAGTATACCGGGTGCGTCTCAAAAGTGGCTCACCCCTATAACTTTTTTATTTTCTCAGGTAAAAATCGAGATTTGGTATGTTAGTATATGACATAAATTAGGACTGACTGACGTATTCAATTATTTTAGATCACTTCCTGTTTCACCGGAAATTACTACAACTTTTGATTTTTAAATGGCACCCTCGGTATTTTGTTACTTTATTCGATAGAAAGTTACACTCTGAATAGAATGACATATCATATGTCAACTTTTGACATTTTCGAATATGGTTTATTTCAAACTGCAACATGCGATTCATAACGACAATTTGACTCGAAATACCAAGTATATGGTACAAAATTATTCGTAAAAAAATGCTTTTTCCGAATATACTAATAAGCCACCCTTGTTCGATTTGAAAAAATTGAGATATTAATTAAAATATGATTTAGGCATCTTTTAACCGGCCAAGACAAGACACTAAAACCGTTAGATGATCAAATCTATTTTTCCAAGGTTCCTTGATTAAAAATTATTGTTTTTAACACAGCCATGGTCCACTCTAGATTGAAATTTAAAATATAATTTTGTTTTAAACGAAAATGTCAAAAGTTGACATATGATATGTCATTATATTCAGAGTGTGATTTTCTATCGAATAAAGTAAAAAAATACTGAGGGTGTCATTTAAAAATCATAAGTTGTAGTCATTTCCGGTGAAAAAACGAAAAATAAAGTGGTCGAAAAGAATTGAATCGTCAAGCAATCTCATTTTATCTCATATACTAACATACCAAATCTCGTTTTTTATCTGAAAAAATAAAAAAGTTATAGGGGTGAGCCACTTTTCAGACGCATCCGGTATATGACGTAACATTGAACGATAGTTGTACAGACTTTATCACCACATATAAATATTTCTAAAATGATTTGACAAATACAATAGAGAACTGGGCAGTTGCACGCACACACAGAAAATATTATGTAAAACTGTTATATGTATACATTTTATGGTCAGCAAATTCCACTACGAAATAATTATTTTTAAAAATGATTATTTTCGTCTATTTTTTAAATTCAATTTTGTTGGTCGATAGTTGAAATCTTTTGTGTTGAATCAAAATTTTATTTATTTTTCATGATTTCCACAACGAAGTTTCATCAAAACTATTTCTTTACATATTCCTTGGAACGCATTAAAATTTTAATTTTCTGTTTCCTGACTTGGGCATATTTTTCAATATTTTTCATTATTTTGTTTAATCATGTAGCCTCAATAAAGCTATTACTTAATAAATAAAATATCAACCGATTCTTTTGCGGCTGTTTGCTTGAACATAAAATTTCCGAATCTACAGAAAACTATATAATTTATCTGGCGAAAGAAGATACATACATATATGATTTGAACAGACATCATCGTAAAAATAGAAAACTGCCACTGTAGGTAATTAGAAAATAAACTGTCATAATAACTTTTTTGGTGTAACGTGGAAATCTGAAAAATAATTAAAATGTAACAAACTTCGCATAACTCCAGTATTTAGACGTTTTTTTAGTTATTTAGTTTATAATAAGTGCTTTTAACGGTTTTTCTTAATGACAACTATTTCTTTCTGACGCAAAATTCTCTTTTTCTTTTATAAATCTGTGATATTTTATAAATACTTGTAATCTCGTTGTTGTATCGATATCGTTACATACCAAACGATAAAAAAACGGCATCATTGTTGGCTTGGAAATGAAGATCGCCCATTTTATACGTAAAATTATATGGAAACATCTTCGATCGTCATTTCCAAACCAACCTGGCGGCGATTTTTCAATCATACAGTATTTTGGATAGTAATTCAATAGCTTACTAAAAAGCTAGAAAATTGAAGATAAAATGCTCAATCTAAATTTAGGCCTCTCTGTTATACTTGAAAATTGTTAGAGATATAAAGTTAAGTTATAGAGATAGCTATCACTTGCATTTTTTGACTTAGCTTGCTCTGTTTTTTGTATTTTAATTCAATTTTTTATAAATCTTAATCTTACTCTTCTATATAAATCTTTCGTGTTCTAATAATAATGTGATATGTGGTCATACAGATCTGGACTCTTATTTTTTACACTTATTAATATAAAACTAGGTTTTGAAGCAGCAATAGATGTGAATTTTGCTATGCTGTGTAATTTACTTAAGATTATTATTATTATTGTACGGTGCTTAAGATGAAAAGTATTATTTTAGTTATATAAAAATATATAGTGCGTTGCATTTTGAGATGGACCATTTTATAATTTTCTAAGGAACTGTACTAGTTTGATAAAATAAACTTAAATTATACAGTGCTTGTGCCAAATTGTTCATAAGAAATTGGAAAAAGTTCAGTGAAAAGCTCAAGAAAAAATATATTGATATACCGGGTCGCATATTCGGAATTCGCCGACACATTAGCCGCTCGGCATAGTTCGGGTGCTGCGTAAATCGCCGACGTATTAGTCTAATACGTCGGCGATTTACGATGCGCTCAAAATATTGTTACTTTCTTCGCTAGTTTGTAAATCGGATTAATTTGATCTGCATCTGTAATGAGTATTCGTAATTTTTTATGATCAATCAGTAATCGTCTGTATTGGTTTTTATTGTTTTTCAGTGATTAGCACATTTCGAGCAGATTGATAATTTAAAAACATGGATTTTAAGACATTACCAGCTGTACCTGATAAATAAATAGTCTCCAATAAACTGAGGTTGCAGATTACTGATAAAAACAGATTTTAGATAGTAGCTGCTGCTTTTTGCAGAGATATTAAATAATAACAGTAATGTTATTAATGTATCATTAATATAAAATAAATAGTATTAGCACAGCTTTTGTTTATACTACGCAAAAGTCTTATGCGCTTTCATTTCCAAACCTTGCGATGAAAAAAATTGCGTCAGAGCTGGCATGGAAATAAAGATAGCTGTCATTTTGTATGTAAAATTATATAAGGAATGTCAATGATCGTCGTTACCAAACCAACTAGCCGCTTTTTTTTTCGAACATACGGTACTTGCGATAAGTCTTAAAACTTAACTTACTCTTTATTAAGGCTCCAACCATTCTATTATCGGCATGGAAGCTTAAAACTGTTTAGCGAGTAAATTTTAGTTTATTTTTATTTAATTATAGAACGGATAACTGCCTTGGTAAATGTTACAAGAGAGATTTTTTAAAGAGTTTTAAAAACATTTTCTGAGACTACGTCTAATAAGCATTTAGGAGGTTTTATCACTACCATTTTGATGACAAACAAAAGAAAAATAGGAAAGCGAGCGGCAAAAGAACTTCACGAAATATAGACTGTCCAGTAAAATCATTAGTAACTATCAAACAATTTCTTCCAGACACAAAATTAAAAAAGTATGGGATTAGAAGGTAATAAATCCAAAAAATAAAAATATGTCTTAATTTTTTTCTATTATATATTTTTTTGCTAATATGTTTTTCTTAGACTTAAGTTGTTTAGTAATTTCTATAAACAGAGTAATCCACCATCATTTCGCCATTAATATTTATCTAACAGAAAGTATTTTTTTTAAGTGAACAAAATTTTAGTTAGAATTTTATATTAAAAATGACAAATTAAAAATTGCTTCAGAAATTTTTTGAAAATCATATTGCTTACACCGTAAAGTTTAATTTTAGTATTAAAGAAAATTTCTGTTCAAGTCTGTTTCGTATAATTTTCTAACAGTTCTCGATTTACCATAACCTATACTGTAATGCAATATGCAGACAACAGTATTTCGTTTTCGTAAATCACCGACGTATAAGGGTTGGGACTAGTCTAATACGTCGGTACTTTAGCAAACGTCCGTCGCTGTACCCGACCTAATCCGAGCGGCTAATGTGTCGGCGAATTACGAATATGCTAGGTGGTCGGCAGTTCTGGCCTTGGGTGCCAATTTTCGTGTATGCGAAGAATATATCAGTACGTTCAGTACAATAACATGTACTGGGTAAAGAAAGAAGAGCAAGTATTTTCCCAAGCGCATTGAAATCTAGTGTCAAATTAAGTGTTTATGTAATAAATGCCGTATGATCGAAAAAAAAACGGCGTCCAATTGGCTTGGAAATGACGATCGATGACATTCTCCATATCATTTTACATGTAAAATGACAGCGATCTTTATTTCATAGCCATCGCCGACGCCGTTTTTTTTTCGATCGTATGATACTTCAAATCTTTCTCTCTCCTATTTCATTTCGCTTGCCAATGGGGTATGTACTGTCATGTGGCAATACAATCTATGAAAATGTCTTGTATATGAGAAAATTAATCCAAAATTAAAGAATATTTCCCAATCAAAATGCAACACGCTGTATGTAGACAATACAATCGAAAACTAAAACGACGTCCCAGTGGCCTTTGGAATTAAAATCGTTGAAAGTTTCTACCGGGTTCACTCCTTTTTATCATATTATATTAAAAATTAATTTAAAAATTTGGCAAAAAAAAATTCGAAAGTCATCAGTCACAATCAAATACAGGGTGAGTAATAATTCTCGACAAAAGAAATATCTCTTTACCGTCTTTGAAATAAGTCCAAAAGAGTTATTTTACTTTGAAAATGTTGTTTTGCCTAAATTTTCAGAACCACTAGTTTTTTTCAGGGTTTTCGTTCATCTAATCTACTACTTAAGACCTAAGATGTCATATTCTGAAGATATGTTTTTAACTGAAAATTAAAAAAAAAATGTTAAAAAATACAAAATTTTCATTTTTTTAGCGAAACATCTCATAGACCGTGTTCCGGAGATCAAAATATACCACCTCGAAAAATTGTGCACTCACCCTGTGTATCCAGTAGGAAATATTTGATAAAATGGATTTTAGTATGCAAACTTGACTTATTAATTACAAATTAAGTATTGTCTTATAAAGATTTTATGCCAATTTTTAAAACATAACATAGGTGTCGGTCCGACACAGATTGTCATATAGATTTTCATTTCAGAGGCCACTGTGACACCGTTTTTATCGACTTTATGATAGGTATAATACGTAGAATCACCAAATAATTAAACTTTTTTTATTTTTTTTTCGTTGAATATTAAATAAAAATCTATTTAAATTTTAAGTAGATCCCTAAAAACAAAGAACAATTCTCAATCGAAGGTAGGAGTTGTAGTATCCATATACGGTTGTGAATGACGAATGAATTATTTTTTACACTTACATATGCTTTTATTGTTTATGTTATTAATATATTGTACTTAAATATTTTTACAATTAATATATATTGAAATAAATATTTTGTTTGAAAAGCTGCATTGTTATTTACTTCCGTGTGTATAGGTACCTATAAAAAATGTGAGTCAGTCAAAATCGAGTGACTAAAGAATAATCCTTAGAAACAAGTGACCGTCTAACATAAGTTATTTTTACTCCAAAATTATTATTTTGAAACTATTCACCTACACAAATTTACTAGGTAAACGTGGGCCGACATCTTTTTTTCATTTAAATTCAAATTATTTGGCACAATAATATTTACTACAGTAAGCATACGCTTTAATATATTAAAAAAGCTAAATTTAGCTAGTGAATAAATTCAATTGATCGAAATGATAAAGGAGAAGTGACTATAGAAGCTTGCCTATTCATCCAGTCCAAAAATATAATTCAAAACTCCCTTGTGTGATCGATTTGCCTGAAAGGATTTTTTGCGTGTTTACTGATAATAATGTTTAGAATATTCCAAAAAATATAAAAAGATATATTACCTTTTTTATAGGAGGATATTTTTGCCAGAATATTTTTTTAATATAAGTATTTACTTAGATTTTTTTCTCTATTTGATTAAATCCGAATTCTTCAGAACTACAAAGTTTGGCTATTTTCTGTAAATTAAATTACTATTTTGCAAGATTTTAAAGATGTATGTATACCACATGTATACTACCTATATGAAAATTTAAATATGTATCTACGCGATTACATTATTAAACCTTTGATAAGTCTGATAGTCATACAAAAGCAATAGATTTTAACATTCAAAGAATGTGTTTAACTTTTTAGATAAAACATAATTGTGTTGCAAAATTTATATATTCTATATTAAATAATGACCTTATACAATTGATAAAATATCAGTGTTACCCACAGATATGGCACATTAAGATAAAGCAACTTTTATAAAATCTGTTGGGTAAAGATGAATAAAACTACTAAAAATCAAGTAATTGTATACTTCTTAGAGATTCAATGTACATTGTATAATTTTTTTTTAATATAATCGTTTTAAATACAAATTTATTGATGTTGGTGCTCTAGTATGGAACTGATGATTCGAATATGTAACTACAAACGTCATGTATATATAAGTTTTCTAATATTTGGGCAGATGTTCCATCTACACATCCCCGGGCTACTAATAATCTACGTGTTTAACACATATATGTAGATATATGTATATTTTTATTTAACTGTCCAAAAATAGGAATTTGGAAGCCAATTATCATTTGGTGTTTATTTCAAGTCAGTATAATAATTTTAAACGACTTTTTCACAATTTATATGAGAATGTTCTCACTCTTGGATACTAGTATCAGCACATAATGCTTTATAAGGCGGGATACTATCCCTTTTCTATCTTTATAAGCGTTAGTTTAAATGTATATTGGTATAGTTATATAGCGGTGCATGAACAAACTGATATAAATTGTTCCATTTGTTAGATAGGTACATTAAAAATAAGGACGTATTCTTTAATATTAAGGTAACTTGAGAAAAACAATTTTGATTACTCATTAACATCAGTAACAAAATAAACAATATGTTCATACACTACTGCTTTGTTCTAAAAATTTTCATAAATTTAAATTGGTGTTACACTATATTGCTCAAACATCTAAAAAGCGTCTAATAAAAAATATACAATATAAGGCAGTTTAAACTATCCCTAATTTTGGTCAGTTAGATTGTCCTAAAGTAACAAAATAAATATGACAGTTTATAAATAAATTTAAAGGCAGCCTAAGGGACATTTATATTGTCTATTAACACATACATCACAATTTTTTCTATTACAAATCCTATGTACATTAAACAAAGGCCCTGTTTAACCGGTCAGAACAAAAATGAAATAGTAAGGCTGTCATTAATGCATTTCTTTTAAAGTAACTGTGAAACGGGCTAAAATGCACTAATATTGATTTTTCATTTAAGCATATAATTTTTTGTAATCAGTCACCTACAGAGAGCATGTGCTCATTTGTTCAGCCACGGATGCTTTAAACAGTCTGCAGCTGTAGCTCGCTTTTCAGGATCAAAATCCAGCATTGGTTTTAGAAATGATGAGAATTCTGCTGCATCTTGCCTGCTCCAGTCATACTTTTCAGTCAAAACATCTTCGAGACCCCATGGTTTTAGTCCAGTAATATGACGAAGTTCATTCTTTTTGTTAAAATACAACTTAGAATCTCTTCCGCTTTGGGCAATTCTTTTTGGTATGTTGCCAAGCAGTTCTATTATATGGGCCAAATGATCTTCATCTCTACAATAGTCTTCACCAGAATGTGGTTCAAAAAGGTAATCTCCTGTAGCTAGCTCAAAGGCCATACAGGCAGTGCTCCAAATATCAGCTGAGGTGTTATAACCAGCTCCAAGTAAAACTTCTAACGATCTATACTGTCTGGTTTGAATGTCCTCTGTAAAATGCTTATCAACCCAACAAGCATTACCTAGATCAGCAATTTTGACATCAAATTCACATTCAACAAAAGCAGGATCGAGCTCTAGTTTATTTTCACTTTTAGAGGTTAATGATGGTGAATCATCTTCAGACATAATTACAACTGGATCAGCAATATTTTCTTCACAAGCAACAATTGTTTCTCCACCAGCAAGCTCATCAACACCATTAAGAGATTTTTCTAACACTTCTTCTGTTGGATTGCTGCCATTACATTCTGGCTCTCCATTGATATCTCCATTTTCCTTTACTTTTTTCTTTTCTTCCATCTCAATAATTTGTTCCATTTGACGTTTAAGCAACTCATTCTGTCTTTTCGCTTTCTTCTTTAATTTCTTTTTCTTATTTTTACTCATCTTTCCTGGTATCACATCTTGTGGAGGGGCAGTACTGACAAGAGAAGTTGGTAATTTTAATCCTAATTGGTGCATTTCGGCTGCCTCACAGGCTAACCTTCTTATGTACTCCTCAGATACACATACAAGTACATTTTCAGGTTTAATATCAGTGTGAATGATGTTACACTTTGTGTGTAAGTAGTCAAGACCTTCAAGTACTTGTCTCATGATAGTACGTACATTAGCTAATGGAATTCCATGATAATTTGATTTAATGATTAATTTTAGTAAATGATGGCCTAACACTTCAAATACCATACAAACATGTACGCCATTGACTCCGCTAATTTTGAAGTCATTTAACAATTGAACAGTTTTGTTTCTCTTGGGATCCGAAGGGTCAGAATCTCTTACAGCTTTCAGAATTTTTATTTCATCTAAAGCTGTTTCGGTAAAATGTTCGGCGGATTTAACAATTTTCAAAGCTACAAATCGTTTATCCTCCAAATCCCAGCACAGCCAAACAGTGGAGAAATGACCCCAACCTAGTTTTCGCGTAACATGGTACCTTCCAAGAAACAGGTCGCCGATTTTAACAGGATGATATCCGCCCTTTCGGTAATCTGTGCTGTCTTCTTGTTCTTCCTCGTCACTGGTGTAGGGGTCGTCGGCATACTCGATGGTCTCATTACTTGAGCTATGAGATGGTTCATGTTTTGAATGAATTCGATTTTCGCCGTGACCATTCATTTCGTTCTTGCCTTTCTTTTTCCCGGGCTTGTGTCGCTTTTTCTTGGCTTGAATAGCCAACACACGTCTGTTTACGTCTAATTTAGCACTCATTTGTAATTATTTTCGAAACAATCACCACCGAAAACTATTTAAAAAAAAAACGTCAAACGTCCATAATTTCCCGTAAAAATACTTTTGTTTGATTATGGCCGACGATCGCGAATTGTGTCGCCAAAACTTGATACAGATGGCGCCAAATCCGTTCGTCGCAGTAACTGGAATTTTCTGTTCTAGGGAATTTTGAATTGCCATATTGGCATTATTGTTTCTATTTCTTTTTAATCATATATAAACAAATTTCTTTAAATAAACATAACGTATAAATATAATTGGATAATCCTATTAACTTCAAAATTTCTTATAAATATCCGAATAATTCTTTTAAATAAAATTAAATATCTTCAGAATAGTTATATATAAATTTGTCTGATGGCTCCACTGAATAAACAGTCAAACTTCAACTTAAGCTGTCAAATTTTGGAGGGAATTTAACGGATTTTACTTGCAGTTCGTGGCATTTAATTCCCTTTAAATTTGTTTATACTTAGGATTTTATGTTTATAATATGGCTCAACCTTCAGTTGCGTGCTATTTTAACAACCGAAAACGAATAGCTGCTGAAGACATCAAAATCAGTCAGGCAAGAAAAGTTTTAATATTAGATTCTAACGAAATTAAGACTCCTCTTAAAGAGGGGTTAGATACACACAAAGGTATTATCTTATCCAACGTTCCACAGGATCAACCGAGTCTTTATAATGGAGAATCAAGTGAAAAGATTCAGAAATTACAAGAAGAGAAAATTGGCGAAAGTAAAATTGTAAAAATTTCAAGTTCAGTGTCCAAAGTTACATTGAAGAAAATAGTTCGTTCGAAAACTAGAAAGTTAAAAAGCAGTACTAATAATACAAATATTCAAGAACTTTTTAATAAAATGAACAAAGCTACGACAGTTTTGTCAGAAGAACAATCTGAACTTATTTCAGCTCAAGAGAAGACACCAGAATGTAAACTTCATGTAACTCCTCCTTCTACACCTACAAAAATAAATGCTATGGATAAAGTTATTAGAGACGGACCTTCCCTCAAAGAAATCAAAAATAAAATGACGAGAAGTGCTAGATTATCAGAATTAAAAGCTTCTTTGAACAGATTCCAAGACAAAGAAAAACAGCTAAAAGAAATTGAGAAAAAAACATCCCAAATCCCTGAATCTCCAAAACTCAAAGGATTTAGAACAATAGAGCTCGAAGTTCAAACAAGGTTTGTAATAATTTTTTTTTGTCTCTCTTCGAAATAGTTAATTAAATACATTGACATTTTAAACTTATTTTTAGTCCACAGAAGGTATTTTCACCAGAACAAGCCTACTTAAGTCCCAAAAAGGATGGTTCAAGTGTTCGTAAAAATCTTTTGAACCTTTTAACACCAACCAAAAATGCACTCGCCTTGCCATTACTAAGTGTGTCGAAGGAATTATTTGCAGAGACCTCAAAACCTGGTCTTACATTGCCATATAAATATAGATTTTTAGCAGAAATATTTAGAGCAATTGATACAGTGGCACAAATTTTATTTAACAGAAAGGAAGTCATAACATTTAGAAAGTTGAAGCCAGCAGTAGAGGAAATGTTAAAAAGAAATTTTATGGAGAAGCATTTGGCACAAATAAAGACTGTTTATCCAGATTCCTTTGTGTTTTCACAAGAACAATTAAAATTGTTTGGAATGGGTATGAGGGCAGAACAGTGGGAACTAGTGATTAAACCAAATATTGGTGATAATGATAGCATGACTGCAGAACACATGCTAGAGAGAAAGAGAAAACTTTACAATATTTTATTGGACAAAGTAAAAGACTATCATCAGGAGTTTTTGATGACTTTAGATGTACCGCTGCAAATACCAAAGGATAAAGTTACAAGGTGGCATCCAGAATTTGATATAGAAAAGGTGAGTAATTGTTATGATGAAATGGAAAGTAATTAAAATATGACCTGGTTTAATTGTTAATTAAAACAGGTCAAATTTATAGAAATATTTTTTGTTTATAATATTTTTACTTTGTTAATTGAATGTTAAGCTAGTTTAGAACATTTATCAAGGACAATGCAGGTCATTTTTTTATGTCACATAATCAAAGAAAATCAATTATTTTTTTTTATCTATTTTTTAGGTTCCAGATTTTGAACTGTCTTCAATTCCGCAGGCGCCATGCGAGGATAAAATTACTACCGGTAAAGATGTGTTGGAAAGGGCTAGGGTTCTCTTTAACTGTAACACCCGTATGGAGACTGCTCTTCAAAAACTGAAGGAAGCGAAACAAACACAAACCCCCGTACCTGCCGCGGATACATGTAAAGCAATGCCACAATCACTATTAAAAGGTAATATAAAAATAACTTTAGAAAATGCCAAGAAAAATAAATTGATAAAAAAATGGAGCCGAATATTCCCAGAATATTCACTCTAATATTTTTTATAAAATGTAAAAATTTTGTATGAAAAAAGAAAATAAAAATATTTTTTACAATTGCCTTAAAATATCTTTTACAGTCAGCATTGTTTTTCTTTAATAAACACAATTATTCAACTATATTTCAACAAGAAATATTTAACTCTTTTAAATTGAATCTTCTATTTTTTTGAGTAAAATGTAATTGCACAAATATCATAATGTCATATTTATACCTAGAGTTTCTAACAACTTAATTTTTAGACCATTTTTATCATTTATATTACCAATTTAAATTTAGACTATTTCTTTTTGCATATTTGTGTTAATGTCATCTCTCAAAATTATAAAGCAGCAAATTATTGATATTTTCAAATTATAAATATTTTATAATAGAAAAAAATATATTTTTTATTTATATTACAAATATTATTTTAATAGAAAAAATAAAAGAAAGAAAAAGTAATAGCTTTGTTTATATATTCTTAAAATATATAATAGAAAACTAATTCTACTAAAAAATCTACTTTTGCTTGGTACATAAATAATGGAACAACAGTTTTTACAGTTTTTTTATATTTTTACTTAATTTTATAACATATTAAATGTAGTTTTGGGTTCGTTGAAGGACTATTAGAGCTACAATTTAAAAATATTTTTACAAGATACAGAGTGTCCCAAATAAATAAAAATTATTATAATTGTATTTTTTTAAATGGAACACCCTGTATATTAATCTATTTTTAAATTCTACGATTGAAATAAAGGTAAATTTCATTAAGGTTTATCACACTTAAACCTTACCGTTTTTGAAAAATTTTCCATTTTATGAAATTGCAGTAAAAAATTTAAGGATTCATTTCTCCACGGGTATCGAAGTTTTAATACTAAATATTTACTGCAGTTTATTTATTGATCAGATATTGTTTTGCAATAATAACAATACCTCTATCTTATACAGAGTGTCTAAAAATTTATATTAAATAATTACTAGCTTTAAACGGCAATAAGTTGTTTAATTTAAATGGAACATCTTGCATATTTTACGAGAATTTGATGCACAATTTAATTGTCTATCAGATTGTATTACACCATTTTTTACCTATCTCTTCAAGTTTTCGTAGAAAATGCATTTTCTTTTAATTTAGACCTCATTAATCACCAGGGTTGGCATGATTTAAATCAAATGATTTAAATCAAGTGATTTTTTTAATTTTAATCATTGATTTAAATAAAAAAATAATAATTTTATTAAAACTTTATTATAAATCAAAAAATAACTGTAAAAGTTATAAAAATGTGTCCTAGAAAACTATAAAAAATATTTCTATAAAAGATATAACAGATAATAAATCAAAAAGTAATTGCAAATGTTATAAAACTATATAAAAATATCTATTCATCAATTTAAATGTTGGACTGCTTTTTGAAGTAATTTCGTGTGAATCCATTAGACCGCTAAACGCAGGGATTTATTTTAAAATTTATGTATAAGTGACAAAAATTCGCTGTTCGAATACATATCATTCGCAGTCTAGTGCAGAACTAGGTTCTTCTGATATAGAGTATAGTCTCTCTTCATTCCCGAGAATCTATAATAATCGTTGTCAGGAAATGTGTTGTTTTATATTTTTTTGAAATGGTTGTATTTTTTCCAAATTCTTGCCGACATTTTGATCTGCAGTAAGTATTTTACACTGACATTAGATAATACTAATTTCATTCTCGACTTAAGAGCATTTCCGAACAATAGTGTATTGTTTTATTAAGAGTAAAAATTATACTTTTTTGATGATGCGGTACCTTTGAAGGACCATCGTAAAGCTATTCCGACGTTACAAGGAAGCATAAAAAGTACATTTTTGCTTCTAATAGAACATACATACTATTTTTTTAAAACATTAAAAATCATTTTTAATCAATTTCAAACATTGCAAATAATATAAACAGTAATCGAGCAACAATTTGTACACTCGTTGAATTTGACACTTAATATCAGTTTAATATTATATTTTTGAACTTTTGTGCTTAGGCAGTGCTTTACTTTTATACCTAAGCGTTAAAATGACAAAAATTAATACTTTTGAGACGTTTGAAAAAAAATCCTTTTTATCTGAAGCGAGCGACTTTTTTGCGAAATATATTGGTGACCGATAAATTTTTGGACACTCTATATAAGGTACTAAAATTTTTATTATTGCAACACAATATCTGATGAATAAATAAATTTTCAGTAAATATTTAGTATTAAAACCTAATACCCTTGGAGAAATGAAGCCTTAATTTTTTTACTACAATTATTTCATAAAATTGAAAATATTTCAAAAACGGTAAGGTTTAAGTGTGCTAAACCTTAATCAAATTTACCTTTATTTCAATCGTAGAATCTAAAAATAGAATAATATACAGAGTTTTCCATCTAAAAAAATACATCTATAACATTTTTTTCCTAATTGGGACACTCTGTATCTTGTAAAATTATTTTTAAATTGTAGCTCTAATAGTCCTTCAACGAACCCAAAACTTACAATTTGTAAAAATCTAATCGTTTAGCTACAATAAATACTCCGTGTCGTATATGGTGAACAACCCTGTAGAATGTGCCTAACTCTATTTATGTATGTCATTCCTAAATGCTTAGCTTTCCTTGCCCTAAATTTAGGAATTTATTTAACATTCTTTGTATTTTATACTAAATCTCTGGTTAAAAGAAACTAAAGTTAAATAAAAAAAAAACGGTTTGTTTAATTTTTGCTTGTTTATGTTTGGTCAAAACAAATCAGTGTATGTTTACGGTTGGTTTGTCTTTTATGTATATCTGTGGTATCAGAGATCTTCAAAGAAAGAGGGACATTTTGTAGGTATTCGTTCCTCTTTCTTTATTTTTATATGTCAATACGAAAAAAAAATACGTTTTTTGACGGTAACTTTATTCATGAATAGGTATACCACCCGCCTTATTGGAGAAAGTCCGCCAAAAACAGGCAGCCAAAGCTTTGCTCTCCATGACGAGATCAGCAGACAAGGAAAAAGAAGTTCAAATATATTCTCGACTTCCGGAGTTAGCACGTCTCACCAGGAACCTTTTTGTGTCTGAGAAAAAGAGCGTTCTACTCTTAGAAACCGTTGTCGATAAGTTAGGAAACTGCTACAGAGGAAACCTGACCAAAACGGAAATGGAAGACCATCTGAAGGTGATAGCGACAGAAGTTCCGAGTTGGATGGTATTCCACAATATTCGGAATAAAGTCTACGTTAAAATCAATAAAAATGCCGATTTAAGTCTGGTAGTAAACAAACTCGACATGTTGTGTAAGCAGAAGAATGAGACTTAAGGTGGTTTTTGTATGATGACTATAGTGTTAGTATACTAAAGTGTGTTCAAAATGTCTGTACTGATTTATTAATTTTTTTTAATTGCGACCAAAGTCATCCAATAAATATTTATAATAAATTAAGTGTGTGTTTTTTATTTTTATCTTTCAAATTTACAGGGTGTGCCAAAAGGTTCGCATTAAATGGAAAAAATATAATATTGTGGAGTTAATGCGGAATTTCATCAGCATAATTAATAAAACAAAAAGCGGCACATTACAAAAATCTTGTAGAGGGTGTTTCAAAAAACACTTGTCATCTGTCGTAGGGAGATTCCTCACGTAAAAATAAGATTTATTTCTTATATCAACACAGGTCCGATTCTCATTTGTTTTGTAGCTACAAAATCAAAGTCTTCATTTTTTTCGGTTTGTTATAATTTTCTTTTAACCGCTTTTAGCTATTAGTATTTTAATGCCAGAAAAGTGTCGATATATTCACTATCAGCGACGTGCATATGGTTTATCACTGGAATATTTTTCTAAAAAAAATTGTGCGCTACTGACTTTTTTTCTTTTGTTATTAAAATTGTTTAGACCGTTAAATGCTGATTAGCAGTTGTTTCTTGATATTTTGTCGATTTAGAACTCTGATGAGAAACACCCAAATTAATTAATTCGAAAAAAATGTCTATCTGTGGCGGATTCATCTTTCCAAAAAAATCCTATGGATATTTCGCCACTGTATAAGAAAATATACAAAATAAAAGAGTTATTTTATTTGTAAACACTGCTGCGTTAATCCAACGGAGACTAATAATTGTCAGCAGTGGTTTACTAATAATCAAATTTGTCTAACGGACAAAAAAATGCTTAACGTTTCGGGAAGTATATCTCTTCCCGTCGTCGGCATCGGAAGCAAAAAAGAAACAAAGAAATAACTATTTAAAATATCTAAATGCAACTATTCGAGAACACTTACTTTTTTAGATGAGATACTAATTAATTTGCTTTAATCCAATTCTAATACCAACCTTTAAATTTTTTTAAGGTCATTGACTTGTCAAAATGTTAAGTAAGTATGTACTCATTAATTCCTCATCAAAAAATACAAAAAAAATGTACCTATAAACATGGGTGCGGAAATGCATAATTTTAAAGTTACGGATGTTAAAACTTTAAAAAAATAGACATTTTGTAATTATCTTAAATACCATTATTTTTTTGGAGAACTAGCACTGTACATTAGTGTTATAAATTTTAATAAAATTTAGTAATAAATTACATTAAATATATTATTAATTTTATTTTAATTTTATAAATGGTGATTAATAAGATTGTGTTGTACAAAACTTCGAGATCGAATTGTACAAAATATCAAATACAACTTTTAATCGGCATTAAACGTCCTACACACTTTTACTAAAAAGAAGAAAAAGTCAGTGGCACATTTTTTTTTAGAAAAATATTCTAGTGATAACGATAACCCATATGCACGTCCCTGGTGAATCGAATGTTTTTTGGCATTAAAATATGTAGCACTTATAGTAATTCTTATCTTCCAATTTTCATTCGAATCGCCAAAAGCTCTCTGATGAAAATTATATTAAATAAAAAAAAATGAATTCCTTAACCTCCTGTATCTAGAAACAAAGCAGGATCGGACCCATATTGATATGAGAAATAAATCTTATTTTTATGTGAGGAATCTTTCCACGGGAGAATGCACATTTTTTTTAAACACCCTGTATGTCCATGAACGTTTCCAAATATACAGGGACTTATAATGGACAGGACAAAAAATATTAGTTATTCAATATGAACTAACATTCCAAAATTTAATGACTGAAATTGTAGTGCGTTTGGACCATAGATAATGGAGTAATTAGTCCAGACGCACACACAGGAATTAAACGAAATTTGTTAACGATATTGGTGTGAATTTCTGTATTTACAATCCTCTATATTTATAATATTTCTGTGTTTCTAATCGAAATAAAGTTCTTGGATAATTAAATAAAATACATAAAGTTAGAACATTGCATACTCAATTTTATTAAAGAAAAAAATCACTATTAACAGACTGTTCAATTTCGTTTAAAAGTGTATACAATCTCTTTTTCACTTCTCTGTCTGGCATAGTCCTCAATTTACCATCCCCACCAGTTGGGTTAGCGCACCGTCTTAAAATAGGGGCCAATTCCGATGACGTATGTTGTGACATCAACAGACCAGGCACTAAAATGGTATTGGACATACCCCAACCCAAAAATATCTTCTCACAAACTATCTGCAGGTTGTTATTGGTCACTGTTCCTCGACACTGTCCAGTGGTTTGATCACAGACTGACCTGCAATCCATATATTCACAGTCTTCATCGCTTTGACACGATTCAATCTCCATAAAATAATTGTTTATGATGGATCTGGGATAGACTTCATCTAAATCGATAAATTTCAGTTTTTTCTTGTTTTTTACGTATCCGAAATGGTTAAATTTTACGTTACAGAGGTGGAAGGGTTCTCGGAATCCTGTGTCCAGGTCTTCCAGTAAGTCGAGTATTTGGACGGCGAATCGTAGTCTTTGACCCCATTCTTCTTTATTGTCATTTAGAGAAAGGTAAGAGGATAATGAAGGAACCGGTTCTAAGTACTCAACGGCAAAATATGAACCGCAAGTACCAATGAGTTGAGGAAAGATATCTTTGTCTGTGAAAATAGTTGAAAGGAGGTACTCGTTGTCTTGAAGCAGGTACCATAAGCTATCCATCTCTTGCTGTCTCTTCGTCAAATCCTTTTCCTCGTAGGAAGGCTTTAAGCGCGATAGTCTCACTGCTGTGTCATAGGCTAACGTTAAATTTAGTTTTCTTTTGACTATTGTACGTATGGACGATAGGAACTCTTTTTCTGTTGGGTACCTGAGAACTCCGTTGTCGTACCAGTGTAGTGCCTGGATATCTCGGGATACAGATTTGAAAACTAGTCGGATGTTGTACCATTCGGCGCTGAAAACTGCTTCTTTTGCTGCTTGAAAGGAATGACAGGTTAGCGAGTGGATGTCTTTGGAAATGCAGAGAGGAGCGCAGAGGGATCCTATTGCCATTCCTTCTTCATAGAGATGACACTAAAATAACAGAGACATATATTTTTTATAAATTAATGATAGTTAAAACAGCAGGTAATCAATTGGAAGGGCAATAACGAATGAACGAGAATTTTCGAATATAATTATGTCTAATATATATAATGATTTAATGTTCTTCAGCACAAACGATCGCATATTTCAAAAATATTTTCATAGATATACTGAGTGATTACAGTATATTTTTGCTCAGTAAATTTCTTATTTCATTATTCTTTCTCTAGGAGATGCGAGAAATTGTTGGTGGGGAAGCTCCTAGTCAGGTGCTAGGGGGAATCTCTCTGGCACTGTAGTTAGGTCTAAGGAGTATCTCACTGTCTTATACCTGGCTGTAGTTTTGTGGCCTGGGAATTACACCAAGACATGTCTTACCAGTAGAGGGTGTGAGGGGGGTCTTGGCTTAATCGCTCAATCTCACCAAAAACTCAAATCCTTTGATGGCGGAACCAGGTCAAAGGGATGCTTGGCTAGATAGAAGACTTGCCTCTATGGGTTTAACTTTAGGGCACCAGAGGGCACTCACTTGTATTTACTCCTTAATTCTACATGCGGGGTTTTGTAAACGTGGACTGACTAACCCTAATGACTCGTGGGAGCACTATGAGATCAAGTTTAAAAAACAGCACCGGTGAAGCCCTAGTGGGGAAACCGTGGAGAAACCCTCTAGCAACAGTGGGAACATTATCAATGCAAGTTACAAGGTACCAATCCCAAAGGGAACTACAGTTGAAGCGGCTGACACCTGCGCGAAACCAGCCTCCACAAATGGCACACAAGCTATCACCTCCTCTAGTAAGGGTCGGGAGCCTACATATAGACCACAGATATAGACTCAGCAAGCAACATAAGCTACCGTTTCGTCTACCCGGCATGGCTCAACCTGGCTGGCTAGACGATCCGCTGAGAGTAGGCCAAATGTAAATGGCTGTAAGTGGTTGCACTAACCACCGGCGAGCAAACGGTTCATCTCAAAAGGGGCGGCCATGTGCCCAGGAACAAAGGGAAAGACACCACCTACCTGATGAGCCTTATTCAGGCTGAGAACTCCAACGTAAGTACATCGAGATGGCGAGTCATCAACTCGGCGGAGGAGGGCCATGGTCAGGTCTTAAGAATATGAATTGACCTTAAATCTAAGGAGGCAATAAACAAAGATATATCTTCTATTATAGATTCGGAACAACACCGGTATAAGGTCTAAGGAGAGACCAAGTTAAAGAGGTGGAAAAAATGGAGATATATCCTCCAGCCTCCACCTCACGGGTACCTCAGCCAGAGACAAGCTCCTCAACTGTGAAAGGCATGAAGGGCCAAACCCCAACTGTATACTCTTGGAGTAGGAACATATGTTGTTAGAGGAGGATGAATAGGAGGAAGAAATACCCTGTTCCCCCGCCCTCTTCAAAAGGAAAATCCTCATGTAAGATGAGTTATAGACTGTATGATGAGTTATAACTCAAGGAATGGTTACACAATAGATTTTTAATGAGAATTTCTTCAGAATGTCTCATAACTATCTTTTATTTTTCTCCACTAGTTCAAATTGAACATCTGTAAATGTATTTTATATAACATAAACGAATGTAGTTTCTATCCAACTTCATGTTTTGATCATTTTATACCTAAAATTGAAGTTTATTTACCTATTTTCCGTTTTTTTCAATAAACATTTTGACAATTCTTCATTTTAAAATAATCAAGATGTCTTCAAATAATGCTCAATTTTTGCTGATTTTTGTGACTTTTAATGATAAATGGTGACAAATAATATATTAATTATGAAAAAAAAAACGAAAATTACTCTAAATCGGTTATGTATTAAATACAGGATGATTTATTAAACGTCATAGCGAAGAAAAATTCAACATATATAGTTTGGCTGACACTGTAGGCATTCTGTAAAGCCCCGTCTACACTATAGCTTTTTACCTGTCGGTTTTGTGTGTCTGGTTAAAGGGAAGACCTTCAAGTAAAACGGACTGTTTTTCGTCTATACACCATTGGCTTTACTTACACGTTGTGATTGAACAGGTAAGACTGACAGGTAAAGTGTTATGTTAGACGGGGTTTAATATAGCGTATTTTTTAAAATACATAGTTTTTTAACATAAATTACTTCCAATTAAAAAGATTTCTTATAATTATCCAATTTTTTTAGCATTGTTCAAATAAAAATTCTCGATTTCGGTTTTATCTAGCATCTTAATTCCATAAAGGCACCCATACACTTCGGTTATTTTGGACGGTTTTAACCGAACGGATAGGATTGTTCAGTTAAGTTAAAAGATTTCGGATGTTGATAACGAATAAAATAAAAGTTTTATAACATACCTGAAAGTCATTTATATCAGTGTATCACATTAATTAATTACGAAAAAAAACGTATTAGAATCTTAACAAAAGGTACAAAACTAGTATCGACGTATAGCACATATTAAATATATATAATATCAGAAAAATAATTATCGAATTCGATAAAAAACGTTTAAAAGATGGAGTAGACCGTTTTCTTCCCTATGAAACGTAACTCCTGGCTCTTTCTTATCATTGCGCCTTTTACACGTGAAAGCTGAACAAATTATCATTGTAATAAAGTTTATACAAAGTTCACTAGACACAACAAACTATTAAAAATCTCTAAAATTGTCGCTGATGACTAACTGATGACTCATTCGTTATTTCCAAAAAATGGCGTAGTCGTTGATAAGACATATGCTTGCTGGTACTTTCTATCCGAGCGGCTTTAACTGCACGGTTTAACCCGAGCAAAATAACCGAAGTGTGTGGGGTCCCTTAAGCCTAACCCTTACCATCCTCTTAACGTGTTGCCAAGCCTGAAGATTGACGCAGAGCAGGTTCCATCTGAACAAGAAGTACAGCAGGGTGGCGACGATCACACCGACCGAATAGACGGTGTATCTGTAGGTATAAAGTAATCCGGGCAGACGTCTAGTTAACAGCATTTCTATAAAGTGTTATCTGCACCGAGGAATCTATGGTTCGTTGGTTGGAATGCTGCGTAGCGTCGGTCCGGTCCATTATGCATTATACAGCCTCTCGAATAGAGCCGATGGATAGATTAGGCGAGGAAACGACATTGCGAGCTGTAAGGAAACAATGTAATATTAATGTTTGAATGATCCCCTTCAGATACTGCGAGGAGCGACTTGAAATATCGTTATAAATAGGAAGAATAATGAGAGGAACACGCCTCTGGTAGATACCTATAGGGTTTACAGTTAAGCTATAAATTATGATATTAGTATTGTTTGTATCTTTGTGGCTGATGCATTGTTATGAGTTTTTTGAATTATCAACAATAAACATACGGAACAGTTATTTAAAAACGTAATTCTCTCAGCATTCAATCAAATTTGTCAAAAAATAATAAAAGAATCTCTTTTCTTCTCTTTTTTTTCTTGTCTTTGGGTGCATTTTATTTTATATTTTTACATCGATTTTTATTTCATTTTATATTTATATATTTTTAAATACCTACAGGGCTGTGCATGTTTTTGTGTATCGGTTTTTTCTTATACTCCCGTCACAGTACCTTTTACCATTTTTTTTTGTTTAATGTGTATATTAATTTTTGACAAGGTAAATAAATTATTTGAATTTAAATTTGAAATTAGGTTAATCAAATTGTTAAGTAATATATCGTCCACCGTATCTTTCATATATTATCTCCCATATACCGGGTGCGTCTCAAAAGTGGGGCTCACCTCTATAACTTTTTTATTTTTCCAGATAAAAAATGAGATTTGGTATGTTAGTAGGTATATGACATAATTTAGGATTGATTGTTTATTGACCTATTCAATTGTTTTTGGTCACCTCCTGTTTCACCGGAAATGACTACAACTTTTGATTTTGCCCTCGGTATTTTTTTACTTTATTCGATAGAAAATGGCTCTCTGAACAGAATGACAAATCATATGTCAACTTTTGACATTTTTGTCAACCTAACGAGAACCTAACGACCATTTGACTCGAAATACCAAGTGTGTGGTACCAAATTATTCGTAAAAAATGCCCTTTTCAAATATGCTAATGAGCCACCCTTGTTCCATTTGAAAAGAAATGAGATATGATTAAAAATGCGATTAGGCATCTTTTAACCTGCCAGGACAAGACACGAAAAACATTAAACGATTAAATCTATTTTCCAGGGCTCCTTGGTTAAAAATTAGTATTTCTAAACCAGCCACGGCACTCTAGATTGAAATTTAAAATACTATTTGTGTTTAAGTAAAAATGTCAAAAGTTGACATATGATATATGTCATTCTATTCAGAGTGTCATTTTCTCTTGAATAAAGTAAAAATATATCGAGAGTACCATTTAAAAATCAAAAGTTGTAGTCATTTCCGGTGAAACAGGAAGTGATCAAAAATAATTAAATACGTCAATCAATAATTCTAATTTATGTATGTCATAAATCTCGTTTTTTATCTTGATTATTTATTATTATTATTATTTTTTTATTTATTTATATTATTTCTTATCCTTTTTTATCACCAAATCTCGTTTTTTATCTGAAAAAATAAAAAAGTTATAGGAGTGAGCCACTTTTGAGACGCACCCGGTATTTAGCAAAAATAAAAATTGAAATAATCAGATCATTTGGGGAGATATACTTACGATCTTTTATTTTAACCTATGACCAGAGACAATTTAATAATATACAGGGTGTTTCAAAAAACATGTGCCATCTCTCGTGGGGAGATTCCTCACGTAAAAATAAGATTTATTTTACATATCAATATGGGTCCGATTCTGTTTTGTTTCGTAGCTACAGGGTGTTAAAGTCATATTATAATAATCTTTCGATTTATTATAATTTTCTTCCAAGTACTTTTAGTGATTCAAATGAAATTTTGAGGGTAAGTGCTACATATTTTAACTAAAAAAGTGTCGACATATTCATCAGGGAAGTGCATATTTATGGGTTAATCACTGGAATATTTTTCAAAAAAAAAATATGTGCGCCACTGATTCTTTTCTTATAATATGAAAATTGTACAGGCCGTTTAATGCCAATTAAAACTTATCTCTTGATATTTTGTCAAATTCGGCCTGCATGAGATAAACGCAATTTTATTAAACACAATTAATAAAATTAAAATAAAAATAAAATTAATAAATTACATATTTTACCTAATTTATTAGTAAATATTATTACTATTAGTTATTATGACTATTAGTCCAACCTACAGCAATTTGTAATAAAAAAATAATCGTATTTAAGAAAATTACAAAAAATCTAATTTTAAAAAGTTTTAACATCCTGTAACTCTAAAACTATGTATTTCCATACCAATGTATATAGGAACTTTTTTTCATATTTTTTGATGAGGAATCAATGAGTATTTATTTAAAACTTTCGCAAGTTAATGATATTAATTTTTTTTAAGATTGCTATTAGACTCCGATCAAGGTAAATTAATAAAATCCCGTTTATGTCATCAAGGAGGCCGAAATCGACCAAATTTTAAGAAATAACTTTTAAGGTGTACGCGCACTGAATCGGTACCAGTCCGGCGAGAAACGGCGAAGGCGGTGACTCGACTATCGTAGATAGGTAGAGGTAGGAATCTGGCCTCTACAGGCCAAAATGTTTTAGTGGACGCCGGCGCCGTTTATATGTACGATGGTCGCAGTCGCTTTTGATGGTCGCAGTGCGCGCGGAGCCTTAAGGAGGCTTATCTTAGATGGAAAATTAAAATATAATTTTTTTTTGTATTTAAAGTATTTCAAAATTTTTAATGGTTTTGTAGATACACGCAGTATTATTCCATATCGTCAGTGAAACGTGATAACCTGCTAACTCCATTTTTTACGTTAATAAGTTTTTTTATACCATTAGAAAGAGAAAAAAATACTCTATAAGTAAGGAAAGCAAATACATTTTTTGCCATTAAAGAAAATTTGCTATTTTAACTCAGTAATATCTACTAACTCCAAGTGATCTGAAATAGCCACCGAAATGCTGCTATCTCCGTAATTTCCGTTACGATCACGCTAAAGCAAACACACGGATTCTTATTCGTATGTTTCTTTAGTACAGTACGTCGATCCAGGGTCGCACTAGGTCAAAGGGGCCTGGGTGGCAATGTAAGGAGGGGCCCGTGTGGATCCTATGGTTCCCTATTATATACAGGGTGAGTCTTAAATAAGTGCAAATATTTTTAGGGGTAGTATATTTCGACCCAAGAAACACGATAATGGTTTTTTTTTGCGCGAATTTTATTTTTTGAAAATTTGGAATTTTTTTAAATTTTAGTTTAAAAAATAATTTGGTTGTAATATGGCACCATAGGTAGTAGATTAAATTTACATGAAAGAAAATCCAATGAATCTCAAAATTATAGCAGAAAATTGGAAATTTTAAAAGTGAAATAACTCGGTTGTTTTGGATTTATTTGAAAAAACGATAAAGAGAAAATATTATATTTCTTTTATCGAGATTTACCAGCCCTGAAAATATTTGCACTTATTTAAGACTCACCCTGTATAGAAATCAGGAAACTACCCTAATGTAAGGTAAACCAATGCAATGCAAATACCATAATGCAATGCAAAAGCAAATATTGTTCAGAATTAATAATGAACTATAAAGTGGGCCCGCGAAGGCTGATTAGGCCCCCTAATAGTTATATATATATAATATGGTCAGTCCGACCCTGCGTCGATCCGTTCTGTAAATACGGGGTATCCGTAAAGGGTAAGGGGAAAAACGAAATTCTCTATATACGAGCAATTCATCGGCGTGCTATAAATAGTTTAAATAACCATTACTTACTTGTACAAGAATTTCCATAATACTTAATCAGTTTTATTTTTCTCAACGTTTTTCCACGTAAATTTATAAAAATAAGGAGAAAAGTAATAAAAACTTAATAAAATCACACACTGTTTTCCAAGCTCGGTCTACTACTACCGTTGTATAAAAATTAGGATAAGCATGGAAGGATTCTACCATATCTTCTAAGAATTACCTATAAGTTTAATTTTTAAATTATTTTCATATTCATCAAGTCCAAAATGCTGCTACTTCAGTTCTTTAAAAATGCATTAAAAATTTGTTTGTTTTTGGACTTTGTTTCTTTTTGGTATGATTTGCTTCTAGACCGACGATATTATAAATATATTTATGGTTATGAATATCATATTTTTTAAATTTAATTGATTATTTCTAAATCTGTTTGAGTAATATTCAATTCCATTTTCAAAATTTCAAACAATAAAGGTTGCTATCTCCAGAAGAATATTTTTATTTCTTATTTCTGGAGCACGAATATCTGCTATCTCCCTATTGTGTTTGAAAAAAATGATGTAACACGAAATATTGAGTTTTGTTTCACAGTAAATAAAATTCTAATCTCCTTATCATATGAAAATACTTCCCACATGTGTACATATTTTTTTGTACCGTTTTTTTGCTCTCCTGTAAAATTAGGAATAATGGAGTTAGCAGTTTATCACATTTCACCGACGATATGGCTCTTTCATCCGTAAAATACCAGGGAAAAATCTTTGATAAAAATTTACTGTGGAAAATGCCATATGAAATATAAATCTGCGAATATCTGCGAAGCCGTAAGAAATTTTAAAATACTCTAAACACAAAAAATGTTCATTTTTTAATTCTCCGTCTATTGCAGTGGCGTAGCAACCGCTGTATCAGCTATATCAATGATACAGGGCCCACTAACCTCAGGGGCCCACCGAGCAGTAAAAAAAATCAAAATATGATGTTAGCATCAAAATTTTTCGTAATTATGCAAACTTTGGTCATACTTTAATAAAACCCCGTATCAACTACAGCCAGAGCACGCGGCCATCACGCATTTGCCTGTCCCCGTATACATCAAACGGTTGCCAAAAATAAAAAAATAAAATTGTTATATACCTAATAATTACACAGGCCGACATGATTTTTGTAACACGAGTCAGTTGCAGAATTTCTTCATAAAAATATGCTTCTAATAACAGAAAAAATACTCCTGAAGCTCCTACACGTACCACTTTTCAGTTGCCTAATTACGCCTCTTTTTTGCAGGTAGTCAATTTTATAGATGTCAGGTATTAAGTCTAGGTAGATTCGCTGTAAGTAAAAGTTATTAATAAATAATAAGCTATTCAGACGGTAAGTTTTTTTATTTTATTTACCCCCCCCATGGTTCTGTCTCAGGGTCCCCCGGTGAAATTCGTGATACAGGGCCCTTTCAATGCTAGCTACGCCACTGGTCTATTGAATAAATCATATATAGGGTGTTCCATTTAAAAAAACGATGAAAAATTTTATATTTTAGAAAGTTTGACGTTGAATTTTGAAGATCCTGTATGATTTACGATTACCATATTTGTAGCAAAATAAGTAGAGACTATCTAAAGTAAATATACGTAATATAGTTTTGATTTCATGACAGGTTCTTGCATTTTTAATAATGTTTTAAGAAAGGCTGAAAAATATACATTTTTTATTTATCTTTACTCACAGCTTAGGATTATGTAAAGTGATCTGAAAGGAAGCCAAAAATGCAATAATATACAGGGTGTTCCATTAAAAAAATCATCCCGATCCACTGACCCTATTTTGAGCCACCCTATAGAAGTTAAAATATTTTCCTGAAATACATCCTAGGATCCTAGTAGATACATTGAGATACATACGTTAGGTTTGCGCTTAAACAAAATTCCCAAGTTTTTTATTCTAAAAGCTACAGATGCCCGACCCACTATTGCCGGACCCTGTATTATTAGGAAAAAGCACACACAAAAAGATTTTTTTTAAAAAACAAAAATTCTTAACCCACTGCTAAAAATAAAATATGTTAAAAAAATAAAAATTATGAAACTAGTTTTATTTTTATTATTCAATTCACCACTCCTCTAATATATTTTTTACTTTTATATCTTACTAAAAATATAATAATGTTCAAAAATATGAATGAGAAAAAATTATCATATAAAATAAAAGGCTTCAATAAAATATTTTATCGCCATCTGTAACTTTATATAGCTGTAAACATTCTGTATATAATTTTCAACCTCATTTTGGTATAGCTTTTATGGCCACATGAAAATATTATTTTTAAAGAATAATTTGACGAAATTTTTTTATACATATAATAACATATAGAATTATTGAATTATTATTGAAAAAAATATCATTTTAATAAGATTTTTACAATAAATAAAATATATTTAAAAAATATTTCAGCAACCTTAATTTTATATCATAATTAAATTAAAATAATTTTTAAAATTCCTAAAACCAAACAGTAACAATACTGCAATAAACCGTTTTATTCCTCTAGCTTATCATCTAACTACTCATCATCATAAAACGTATAATTTTGAACGGCATTATTTTCAAAAAGGAAAAATAATTTTGTATGTGAAAAAATCGAGAAAATAGAAATCAGATTTACTGATCCACTCACCTGCTGACTAGCAGCTATGGATGCAATGCGATTCTGCCGAAACGCGAGGACACCCCATCGTTGCAGGCTTTTTTTTCGAGGGTTACGGCAGACGCAGTGTTGTTATTAGGTGCGCAACTGTTCGTATTGGCGTGTTGCGCAGACGCACAAAGTGGAAAAGGAAAAATTAGATCCGATAGAGTTTGTAGAGATAGAGAGTAAAGGAAAAACTAGGCTAAAATTGAGCCGTAACATGAACGAACGATCACCTATTCAGCGTTTTCTAAATTATGTTCTTTCTGTTTTGAACATAAATGTCACTTAAAAAAATTAGTAAAATCAAATATAAAGAACATAGTATTATATGAAATCGCTACAACCCAGCTGTATAGTTTAATTTTAAAATGAAAGTAATAGTATTATATTAACTATTCTTAACTGCATTACAATTTTTGTTGATACTTTAGATTACGGATTGGAAGCAAAAATTAAAAAGTTTGGTAGTAGATAAATAAAAATAAGAGTTGTCTCTAAGTTTATAGAATTTTAAGGTCTCTTCACACGGAGCTGCAACAACTCAGTTTTAAAAAAGCTTTAGTTTTAAGTCTTAAGTCATTTCTAAAATCAAAATGATTAAGTCTTTGACTTAAATCATTTTATTTCAAGTCAAGTCATTTTTGTAAAGACTTAAATCAACATAAAGCTATTTAAATCGTTTTTGTGCCTTAAGTCTATATTTTTGACCTCGTTTTTGACTTATATTTTTTGACTTTTTGTCAATTTGCACTCCCAGATACCTGAGGCTTTTGAACCATTTGACTTCCGTCCCATCCAATACAATCTTTGGATACGTAAAAGATCCCTTATCGGTTATCGTTATCAGTACAGTCTCTGCTTTATGGAGCGCCAGTTGCAAATTTTTGGTCTTCACTCAACGGTGTATTCAATGTAAACTATCGTTTACTTCAATTTTCAATCTTCAGTTGTTCTGTTTTACTTGCCGTTGCCACAACAGCAATGTTATCTTCAAATCCCACTCTATCTGTGTTTTCGGCCATTTCTAGTTCCATAAGCTCGTCATAAAATATATTACGTAGGAGCGGTCCTAGGACCGATCCGTGGGGAACTCCCATTGTCATGTGATAAGTTTTTTGTTCCTTTTAGACAGAATATTTTTCTCTCTGCAAGATAGCTATTCCCAATATTTTTCAGATATTCTGGGAAATCTTTTCTATCCCAGGGTAATGGTGACTACTCGATGGATTGCGTCGATGCTCTTACGATATTCATACTGCCAATGTGATAATCCTCCTATGCTGTTTACATGGACATCCATTCTTTGTAGTATTAATCTTTCCAGTAGTTTGGCACTGGTATCTATTAGGCCCCTTCTTTAAATTATTAATTTATTTTATTATTATAAATTATTATTTTAGATTGGTCTATAAGATGACGTATTCTCTATTGGCTTGTTGGCCTTGTGTAGAAAGACCAAATTGTGTTGCTCTCATTTGTTTGGGAAATATCCAAAAAGAACTTTACTGTGTGTAGTAGTAGCATATAATTTTACATATAAAATGTTGTATGTATGTATGTAGTATGTATGTAGTAGTTGCTCCGGCCATACATCTGTATGGCTATTTTAAGAACTTCGTTTGGTATGCCGTCAGGACACGATGATTTAGTTGCCGAAAGTTTTGTACTTGCTTGTTGTAGTTCAACTACAGTAAAATATTTTAGTTCCATTGTGTTTTTATGTTACCAAACCTGCACACTTTTTTCTTTCTTCTGTGATGTTTTTTTATGCTGCTCCTTTGGGAAGTGTGTCTTTGCTATTTAGCGAACCCAATTTGGGTCCAACAGTCCTGGCATTTTTTCGTGACCTATCTGAGATCAGCGTTAGACCTACAAGAACAAGACCAAGACCGACAGTGCAAGACCAAGACCAAGCATGCAAGACTCTTGCGTTCTTGTGTTTTTCAATGCAATTTTTATTAAAGTACCTATCTATTTGTCTCAAAATGTTAATAATAAAAAGGCTTTTCCTCTTGTAAATACGATCCGGAAACATACTCTATATCGTACGATCGAAAAAACAACGCCGGCAATTTGGCTTGGAAATGACGATCGATGATGATACTTACCATATAATTTTACATATAAAATGATAGCGGACAACAATCTTCATTTACAAACCAACTGTGACACCATTTTTTTCTCGGTCGTATGGTATTTTCAGAATATTTTGCTTTATTGTTCTTTATATCTACCCATTTTATTTTTTTAACGTTTAAATATATAAATTTAAATTGTAATATATATCTATTAAAAATATCTTCATAAGCTCTTTTATGTTCTTGTAATCTACCTTTATCCTTTTCCGTTGGGTGGACTAAATGAAGACAATAATAGGTCATAGTCTGCACGAGGCCAGTACTGCTGCGCAAGACAGAACAACATGGAGAGACACCATAAATGCGATATCATGATGTCACCATACTCTTATAGAGTAATAGGCAGTAGGAGGAGGAGGAGGACCCTTATCCTTTAAACTTTTGAAATTGTACAGAATTGTAAAAAAAATCTGTCGTGGAAAAAGATTATTATCTATTGAATTTTTGTTTCTATTGCATGTGAAAAAAAAATCAATAAGTAGATGGATCACTGTCAATATTAAAAAAATACATGGGTCATTGCTTTGCCCAATTTATCTAAAATATTTCCCGTGTATTAAAATATACAGGGAATCTTAAAATCAAAACGAGAAAGAAGTTATACGTTTACAAACGTTTTGAGTCAAAATTTATCTCCTGTTAGTTTCGAGGAATGGAAGATGACCCATTTCTTTGGAATATTTACGAGTCCAGATTTGACTCGAGATTTGATAAACGATAAAAATTTTATTTTTATTCTGTACTAAATGAAAACAAAATATATTATGTTCCAATTTCAAAAACCATTCTGACCGACGAATTAAAAAAAGGTTTATATATAAATATGGAACTTGGTGGAAAATTACTGCAATAGAATATACACTATTAAGCTGGGAACACATTGTTCTGACGTAATGTGTTCCCGCATTTTGAACTACAATACCTAAATCGGAGATGTTTTGCACCACTTTGTTTCACAACGAGATCTATTGACTCAAAATATTTTCAATATGGCGGCACTTCCGGAAATACCGGAAGTTGCAGCAGCTTTCTAATTTTAAACAGTTACTCCCATTTTTTATTACATACTTAAATTCTCTTTAAAATTTTATGAATTTTGATATCAAACAATGCCACATTGGCTGTGGTAATCACCAAATTTGACGTTTGGGCTCTTGGAAGCTATATTCTGGCTATCCTAAGAAGGAAGATAAACCTAAAAGTACCAGTACTGGACACCTCGCAGCAACGTTCCGGAAAAGAATTTTAAGTGAAGAACAAGAACCCGAGATCTCCACGAGCAGAAATGAAACTAAAATTCAAAAGACTACTGGAAATTATGTTTGTCCATCAACTTCAACCTTAGTAAATTTTTTAAACTGCGACATTAAAATTAAAATGAACTCAAAAAAAGTTATTAAAAAAAATAAAGCTGTCATTGTTAGTGGTAATATTATTCAGTGAATTACTGTAAAAACTTTTTAATAAACATTTGAATAAGAATTTCAATTCGATCGTAGAAAAAATGTTGTGTGCAAACATGTACAAAAATCATATTTATTGCACTCAGCATGATTGCAACTATTTGCAAAAAAAAACTCATGCGTCGTGCAACAAATATGCCCTTTTTGCACTAGTTGCTCAAATAACTTTTTGGGTGGCATTTTTTAAAAAAGTTCCTCTATTTTTAATTACATACATTTTTTCATTTATTTAAAAGAAAAAACATATTTAAAATTTTTGGATAAAAAAAATGCCTGTCAAAAAACTTTATATAGTCCAAACGCCAAATTTAGTGATTACCACGCAGCCAATGTGGCATAAAGGTATGTGGCTATCTATTTCAAAATTTAAATTGTTCGAATGTCATATAATATTGGCCGTAGCTGTCATTCAATTGAGTGTGTCTGATATCAACATTCAAAGAATTTAAGTATGTGATAAAAGATGGGGGTGCCTATTTAAAATAAGACAGTTGATGTCAACTTCCGGTATTTCCGGAAGTGCCGCCATATTGTAAATATTTTTAGTCGATAGATCTCGTTGTGAAACAAAGATGAAATGTGCAAAAACTCTCGGACGTAGATATTGTAGTTCTCTGGAAATTTCTAATGCACGTCCAGTCTGGGACGCCCTGTACATACCTACAATATACGTAAGTAGTACGAGTATAGACATTATTTACATTGTATTTCCCACACTGGAGTGTTTTGGTAGTTCCAGTACGGTAAAATCTTGTTGCAGTAGTTTATCAGATAATATAGTGGACTATTTTTATTTCATTGTTGTTGATCGTTCATGTTTTTGATAATTAAGTATAATAAATACTCTAAAAGCGTACGGTTATTCTAGCTTCTGAACTGCATCGATCCGGCTTCCAACATCGACAACGTTCGTCTATTTTTGTTCAGCAATTTCGAATTTGGCACGATTTCTCAAATTATATAGTGCTAATATCGTTATTATTGGGTCAGTACGCGATCACACCGATCTTGCGTGCAAAAATGTCTGCCAAGGAAACGTAGAAAAAAAGTTGGAAAACGGGAGATTCTTCAGTATTTGAACAATTCCATGTAGAATTTTTTCATTGAACTATTCAACCATTCAGCGTTGATAATAAATGCCAGTTTCTATAAAAAGTTAGCAAATTAAAACACTAGTTCACAGTAAGACCAATCAACGGTAAGACACTAAAATTACTACAATATATTTTATATACAGACACTAACACTGGACGTGAGTTTTGATAATCATATTAGCAATATCATCGATGATGTAATATTTAAAATTTAAAAACACCGAGTAAAATATTCATACATGAAAAAGAGCGCAACTTAAAATATTTATGGACGTGTTTCTGGAAAAAAAATATCTTTAATTTACTAAATTTACTTCAAATTAAAGACTCACACTGTATATTTATAATTTGAGTCTACCACTACTACACCTTTTCATAG